ACGAAAGGGACGCATTACTCAAAAACGATAGGTCCTAGGAAACATTTCAACAGTTTTTCCGAGACATCGCCGAATGGTTAAGGTTGTTTTTTAAATGTACGCTTTGAAACGAAGACAAACACACACACACAAAAAAAAAAAGAAAAAGAAAAAAAGCTCGTTTGACATCACAACCATTTGGCACATTAATGTTAACAAAAAAAAACTTTGACACAAATGAAAAAACAAGTAAATCTTGTGGCAAAGTATCATAAAACCAATTTGGCGGTACGTTTGTTGTCATCCCCAAAACGCTTAAAACGTTCTATCGTTAATGATACCAAAAACATAGGCTCTTGACTTTATAATTCGAACTTAAATCTGCGGTCAAAAGTTGGCAACCTTTGCTCTTTTGACCCGCAACGCATATTTGATAAGAAAAAGGTTGGAGTATCAAAGACATTTTTAAAGTAGTAGGCGGACAGTGTACGTTTACCATTTTTGCACGGTTGAACACACGTTAAAGACAGGCATAAATAAGGGTGAATTGGAGATTATTATTTGTTCTTCCTGATTCGAATTTAGAGTTAATTAATTCGAAGCACGCACAACGAACATGTCCTCACTCAACTCTTACAATTGGATCATTCTCTTCTCTTTCATACACCATTTCCTATGGGCAAGAGAACGTGTCCTCTTTTTCTTACTCTCTTCTCCATCTTTGGTTGACTTTAATTTCCGAAAAAAAAGTTAATCTGGATATAAAAGATATCTTTGCAAATCGCCAGAAAAAAATGCGCGTAGTTTGTTTCAAGGCAATGGCACCACAAACTTCCCGCACACCGACAACACTGCACTTCCCTATTGAAAACACGATAATGATATATTACTGACATACCTATGAAAGGAAACAATTCTGATACAATTCGACGCCAGCCGTTTCATGGCAATCCATAAAAAAACTACACCAGTAGGTTACAGACAAATGCACAACATGAAAGCATATTGAAACACTATTATTGATAAGGGCTGTCGGAAAATAGTCATTATTTTCACGAGGTCAACATGTGAATAGTCATATCTTTCGAGTATCGATTCCATTTTCTATATTTGGGTGTGTTATATGACACCAAAAGTTCCTGTTGTTTTTATCCAATGTTAATTTTCCCCTTTGCACTTGGACACGTATTGTTTGAAGGCCAACCTCACAGCATTCTTTTCCGTTTTTACTCTTTTTTTAATCGAGTGTAATTGGACTTGTGATTTTAACTTGGCGTTGTACAATTTTCTGCGCCTGAAGATTCTGATTCTTAAATTAAAGAAAAAATCCCACACAAAATGTTTCTCAAAACTGTTTCATTTAATCTTTAGGCAAAAGTCATGTTAACCGGAAAAGAACTGATACATGTTTATTAACTTGCGCACTAGATCTTTCCAATAAGAATCATGTTATTTAAGAACGGAAAGATCGATTGCGATTTCAAGCGAAAAAATATATTATTTTTAGCCATTTTATCTCCCTCGAGCACCTATACTAGATCCTTCAGTATCTTCATATTTGATAGCCCTTTCTTAAATTGTTGGTTCCCAAAAGACGATAATTCTATTAAAGTACATATCTCAAAGGCAACGAAGTTTGATTTCGTTTCTACGGACACGGCGCCATAGTAAGAGGGCCAGTATCATGACTTCCGATATGTTTCAGCAAAATGTCACGAAAATTTTGTTTCGTGCTCTTTTTTCGTATTAACTAATTGCTGATAAAGCCTTGTGAAAATCCAAATAAGATCAATAGGCAAAAGTAAAAAGCTCTCAGAATTAAACACGATCAATGAATTATACGTGTTTTATGTTATACTGTTCTCATCATTAGCATTACAGAAACTGAGTAAGCTTCACATGTTTATTTTGATTTCGCTTCTCCACATCGCAGGCTAAGAGCCAACAGTTCACATCTTATTCATGATTTAAGTTGTCTACTCTTTTAGGTTTTAAAATGGACAGAAAAAAGACATGATGGTCTGTTCTGCTGACAAGTCAAAAAGGAATATAATATTTCATGCCAAAGCCGACAAAATGAACATTTCTCTCAGTTTAACATTACGTATTCGCATGATTAATAGGTTTCAATCTTCAATTCTATTCGGTTCTTTCGTTTCTTATCCTTGAGAAATTTTTTACGTAAATAGTTTAATTCCTCGGGCGCAACATATTAAGTAGCTTTTAATTCAACCCCCAAATCGATGAGATTGTGATGACTCTCAGTCCTCTACGAACTTAACCTTTTCACCTCATAAACCTTTTGACCTTTCTCATAAGTTAAAACTTCAACACTCATGTCATTCAAATCAATTTGAATTGCATCATTTACCTGTCCTTTAAAAGACTGCTTGAAGACTTTGAATGTGAAGGGAGCCTCCTTCAGAAGAAATCTCGTTCTAAAATATTGTTTAATCATAAAGCAGACGACAAATACAACAAATTCTGCTCTGCTCCTTAGGACATTAAACATCCCTTAGAATGTGCTTTTGTGTCCAGGTTGTGAGCTTAATTGTCTTAGTAAGACAGTTAAGTTGTCTTAGTAAGCTGGTCAGTTTGAAAAATTAAAGCAGTTCGACAACAGCCAATGGTAATGAAGGATGATTTAAGGTCAAAGTATTTTGACAGAAAAACTAGTTATTACTACTTTTTCTGTCAAAATATTTAGAGAGGAAAAACATGGAATATTTGTATTAAATTAATAAGGCTTCAATTTTCTAGAGGCAGCAAAAAACAGGCGTGATAGTAAACCAAAGTTAGGTGACTCAAGGCTGCATAGAATTCTCCCATCTAGCTGCAACACATCCGCTTGCGAGTAAGTTAGGAGAATTTAGAAAGATATCAGTCAGACAGGCTGTCTCTGGATGATAGATATTTCTATTCTTAACGCCTATTTCTCGGACAATGTATCGATATTCTAAGGGGAAGTTACATTTTCATCGCTCGTAGCGTTTACATCACTGCTCTAAGTCACTTCCACTTTTTCCTCAGAGGAAAAACAGTTTGTGTTTCTGTTACGTAATGATTTCGCAGATTTTGCCTCAATACCTTGCATAGATTCAGTTTTAGATCAATTGCTTCATGCCGAAAACGAAATTAAGTTGAAGAATTGGCTCAACACGGACAACTTTATTTCCATCTCTTTTCTTTTTTTGAGATTTATGTGGACAGCAGAATTTATATGGATTGTCCCTACTATGCCGCCGCACAGCAAGGAAAAATAAAATGTTGGAAAATATTAAGTTGTAAACGATCCAACATGGAAAGATCGTAGTGAAGAGAGATACACCAAAGGGTTTTAATATTAGCAAGTGTTACAGATTTGGTGGCTAATTGGATCTGGGTTAAAGCCTCAGCAGTGTAATTGATAGCTATTGTCTTCGGCTAAACATCTTATCCTCACAGTGCCTCACTCCACCTAGAAGCTGTATGGGTAAATACTGGGATACTATCAGGAGAAAACTGACAATATGCTGAGGGGGAAACTAGAATAACAATCGCCCTATCCAAGGGGATTAACGATATTTCTACTGTGTCGCTGTTTGCTGCAGAAATTACCGCGATAATCCGCAGAAGTTTTCCCCGCACAAGTCTCTTTAAGCCAAAATGTGTTGAATTTGTGGAATGACAGTGACCTTAAAAAAGGTTGAGCAACTTCTAACAACGGAAGTAGTACACAAGACAGGGCGTGAAATTGATTTTTTTTTCTTATAGTCACTTGGCTCCTAAATTCTTCAAAGTGGTAGCCAATTAGACCTTTAGCAAACCACGACGGCAACGGTAACAAGGACGTGACAAAACAAAAGATCTAATGAGCAGAACAATAACTTGGCAAGTAAGTACTGAAATAGTGCACATTCCTTAGCAGTACTCCGTAAAAAAACAACGTGAAATTACCAAAATTTGCGTGGTCTGAGAAAAGAAACCACGACTGCAAATTATTTAAGTTTCCATTTGGAATTCAATGCCGCTCTCATAAGTTATGCTGAGGTTAACTTGCACCGCTGTAAGAGATAGTAAACACATCCAGTCATTCGCTAAATTCCAACAAAAAATATAAATTCATTTTCGAATCGACGTCTTCCTTGGCGTTGCCGTGCCAACTGCTAAAGGTCCGGCCTAGTGTGTGGCCTGACATTGTACGGTGGTAATCAAAATAAAAACATGATCTTGTTGTTAAGTTTTCAACGGATAGTAGATTTATACTAGGTTATAAAGCTTGTTAGAAGAAATTTCTTGAAACTTTCTTTATTATTTTCTTAAGAACTCAAAACAACTTGCTAGCTTGGGGTATGACACAACAACTACAGGAGAGTGTCGGTTTCCAGTTTCAATATTCGACCAACGTCACTATTTCTCACTTCACTAGCGAATCACATTGAGTTACGTGTAATAGTTTCCGCACACTAAGTATGTACCTTCGGTTTGTTTACTCTTTCTAAAACGATGTTCTACCAAAAATTTCATTCTTTTGCGGTTAGCATCGGCCAAAACAAAATCAAGATTTATAATATAAAATTTATAAAGAAACCGTTTCGTAAATTAGAATTACTATTAAAAGATAGCTAAAGAGAAAATAACCCTTGAAGTTTGTTACATAACAACATATTAGAGAGAGAATTCGAGGGAGAAAGGGCGTACCTCTCTCATATAAGTCAACTGATTATAAATTCATTGCGGAAGATGAAAAGTACAAGATGTATACACCTTAATCTCCCTATAGAAAGAGGTGCTGAACGTGCTAAATTAAAAGAATTAAGAATTACTTTCTTGATCGAGAGCACGACATGAAATTGATCGTAAAAACGTGCCTGAAAAGAATCGAAAGTATAAGAAATAGCAATTTCCAGGAATTCCGGTACGAGACTTACTTTTTCCAGAACAAATTACTCTCTTATTCAGCAAGCAGATTATCTTAATTAAAATATATCTTACCGCAAGATAATTGAAACACCTCACGCCGAGTTTTAATCACCATAGAATTGAACATCCGCTTTCATGTCAAACTCACGATTGGATAATATGCGTCAATCACTAACAGCTAAGTACAAACTTTTGTGGAGCTAAATGGACTATTTTCTCTCCAAACTAAAAGATAAAAATTACTCAACTTACAAAGTAAGAACGCCATTGAAATAGGAAATTATCAACTGGTTATAATATTTTGTAACTGAATGGGTTTTGCTAATATGTAATTTCCATTCATATTCCCACACCAAAGGTAATGAAGCTCTTACAATGCTTCTAAGTAGGATATGTCTTAATTTTATCGTTTAACAAACGCGAACTAAATTCTTCTTGATACTGTTCTACAACCAGCTTTTTATACAGTTTCATTTCGAGAGAAATGTTTCCGACACGAACAATAAAATATATTAAGACTAAAATGTATGAGGTTAACCTACCACTCATCAAATCACAACTTAGTTGATAAATTTGAAACTCAGACCAAAAATAAAACTAAAATCATCGACTTTGATTTTTACTTGATATTCAGCAAATTCTCACGGCATGATTCCGGGTGAAGTATGAAAGTCAGTCAAGAGAAGCAGGTATTTGATCATGAGGGTGACAGAGTTCAGAGACGCAGCTGAACAGAAGTCCAGGGAAGATTGATCGAATAACACACGGAGCCACAACCAGTCAGGCTTGGGTTCCTTTCTTGTTTACCCTCTGATTTTCTTCTCACTATTTCTTTTTCTTTTCTTTCTTACTTTTCAATAGAAATCGATAAATTTCGATGAAAAATTTCGCGAACGGCTATCATCTCACATTGGTTTATTTAGGCAAGGTAGCATGAATATCTGTACATGACGCAGTGGTCACCTTACAAAGAATTGGCCGTCCGATTCATTTTGACGATTAAATACTGAATGACTCTTTTGGGTCACTTTTAAGTCCCTTTTGGTAATCTAACTAGACCGAAAATACCGAAAGATACATGGAAACAACTCTAAATTTTGAGCTACTATTTTTAAACATTAATTACAAAATGATATAGTTACACAATCATGAGTTGTTTGTTGGTATGAACAAATTTGCTTCAAGTTGTTACTAAATTGTGGTTTTCAGGAAATGTACCGGGTTGTCGCACTTCTGTGCTTAGATGAAACCCCACTGCTAGAGTTATTCCGTGATTGCGAGTAATATTCCTTTTTTTTTTTAGTCTAAGTTCTCGCATTTCATTAATTCAAAACAAATTCAATGAAGAACCTCCCTGAAAAAAATTTGCTTGCCTGGTATTCGACGTTCTCTCATCTGACTAGTCTTCATCACTGTCTGCTTCATCTTCGTCTGAAGATAACACGAGAGACCAATCATCAGTTGAGGTGTCTAGGTTGTCGTGGGAAGCAGAATCCTTGAAGGTCGGTACAATCCCCTCTTTTAGCTGTTCATGACTTGCGAAGTGGTTGGCATTTTCACTGGCATTCGTATTCACCAACGGTACTTCGGATAGGTTATCACACTTTAATCCGCAGAGTTTAATTACGTTTAAGCGAGAATCAGATGTTAAGCAAACAACTTTGTCCTCCTCAGGAGACACGGCAACCCTTACAATGCTCTCCATCCCTTGTGTGATCCTAGCGTATGCAACAGTTTGCCTGTCGTTCAAATCCCGCAACAACACAACACCATCCACTCCATATGACATCAGGTAACGAGTTCCCTTCAAAAACTGGCAAAAATCAACCCTACCAAGATGGCAGTGTGGTATTTGCAAAACAGACGCTTGTTCAGCTTCAGAGTAGAGGAGAATTTTGTCTCCAAAACAACACGCTAGCAGTTTGTCGTTTGACGAAACTGTACAGTGAGTGAATTTGTCCGACTCTCTGCAAATCCCACTAGGTTCCAGCATTTTCAGAAGACGACAGGAATTCCCAGTGTGCTCCCAAATTTGAATGCTTCGCTGACCGCAAATGAATACTTTCGCGTTGTCGGATGAAAAACAACAGCATTCTACGGAGGGTAGATAAAAGGAGTCACAAGATGCTGACACAGCCCTCTCTTGGACATCCCACACGAAGAATTTCCGCGCATTTTTGTTCTTTTCGATACAAAAAAGAAATAAAGCGCTGTTTGGAGAAAATATCATGCAAGAAATATTACAATCCCTTTCTTCAAAGACAGTGCAAACAAATCTCTCCTGTTTGAACAGTAGTATCCTTGAACTTTCTTGAGTGGCTAACAGTTCTCCGCTGCAGGAAAATACGCAGTTCTTGAAAGGTTCGAATTCTCTGAAAGGAGATTCTCCAACCATTAAGCGAGAATTGGAAATACACTCGACCGAGGGCACATCCACGTTTGCAATTTTCCAGAAAGAAAGTGTTGGACCAAAACCGATGGACTTCAAGGTATCAGTGGAAGAGAACGCTATCTCTGACCAACGCAAGTAAATTAATTTAGTCCATACACACTCAATGAAACCTCTAGGAAAATCCTTCACGAAGATGTTTCTTTCTTCGTCTCCAGTGCGAAAACAATACCCAACTAGTCCTTCAGGCCTGAGATACAATGGAGTACGTTCCGAGACACTTAAAAGGGTGGTACCAGTTTGGAGAGACAGAGCGCACAGTAACTTGTCAGTGGAGAGATAAAGAAAAACGCTGCAGTCATCAGTAAAGGCAAAGGCTTCCACATCTTTAATAACATGACGCGGGTTACGATTGAAATTCTCACTTTTGAGTTTTTTTGCGCACACTAATACCTCCAGATGGTCATAACTCCCGATGGCGATCCAGTTTTGATCCAGTGATATCCTTGCTATTGTCGAGGTTTCACGTTCTGAACTCATTTTGGGTGGTGTGAGAAAGTAAGGGCTCAAAAGCACTGACTTACTGAGGTTGAAAAAGTGCCGATCAGAGTAAGACCTAACAGCTTTACTTCCGGACAAAGATTCATAAATGTAATACATGGCATTTGCTACAGCAACATCACAAAGTGACTCAACTTCATTTATAACACGGTAGAATATTTTAATGAACTCACTGCAAGGGGCTAAATGGTAGACGAGGAATAATGGGTTAAGCTGGGTACCCGAAGAAAATGCTTCTTCCAACACAGATTTTCCACTCTCCAAATTCCAGACCTGATACCAGAATATGTCAGAGTAAAGGTAAGTGATAAGCTGACGGACACGCGAAAATGAGGATACTTGGAGCTCCTGCATCGACGCAGAACATCGTGCGCAGAGCGAAGCAGCATTTTCTTTCCTTGAAAACAAAGTTTGAAGAAGCACCATTCGCTCATCATCCTTTTCCACCGATAAAAAAATTTCATATTCCATTCTCACAAACTCATAAAGTTCGTCAGAAGACGGAAAATAATCAAAATAACGTTTTTCTTCCACAAAAAAAAATTATGAAACGCTCTTTTAATTCTTCTAAGCGTAAAATAAATCTCAACACTCTTGATCTGTTTGAGCTCGTGCCTTGCCCACAAACAAAAAATTTTTTTCAAGCAAGACAGGGTATGACATCCATTCCAAACATCATCATCTTTTACTACAATATAGCGACCACATAAGGCGAGCGACCCCCACTTGAACAGCCTATTTTTACCAGCAAACTGAGGTAAATCTTTCAAACATCCTTCATCCAGAGAAAACCATTTATCCAGCCTTCCAAAAAACAACAACTTACTGTCTGATGAAAATTCCACATGGTGAATATCATCTCCTGATTCTACGACCTTGATGGGGCCTTGAATTCTTTCAAGCGTACTCGCATCAAACAAGAATATGGATTGGCCTGTTCCTCCAGCAAGCCATTTCTTATCCGGAGACAAAGCAAAGTAGCTTATACCAAAGGGGATTTCACAGGAAGCATTCCTAGCCCAACTGTACTCCATCCAACAAGTTGAGACCCCATAAGGAATAACAGCATCCTGGACAGCTTTGGAGGTCATCCGCAAGCAAGAATGGAGAAGCTCAGGACATTCCGAAAGAACGTTGACATTCTTTTCAACAACAGCGTATATTTCTTGGATAACTTGTTTCTTACTGTCACGAGAAGTCTTGTTTTCGGCCTCCCTCTTAAAATCGTTAATAAGAAGATAAATCTCATTACGTCTACATTTTATTCTCGCTTGAATAAATTTAAAACTAGTCAAGCATCTGGAGATTGTTTCTACTGAAACTTTGTCAGAGAAACCACGCAAAAAGCGAACCCCCACGCGCAAAACGTAATCAAGTACACGGGTGTCAATGGAAAAGCTGCCTTCCGATTGCTCGTCCAGAAATTCGGAGAGACATGTAGTTATAACGTCTCTGAAATACTCACCTGCTTTGATCCTATCGATGAACAATTTTCGAGAGGCTTTTTCCCTGTTAGTTAGCCACGCTGGGATCAAATTGTGAAGAAACGTGAATGACTGATCAGGAGTGCGAAACAACAGAAATGTCGAGAGGGCATCAATTACTTCCTGCTCATCAAGATTTGAATTCTCTCTTTGCAGAATTAACGAAATAAAGGAGACAGGTAGTGGAGATGGAGCGACTACAACACATCCAAACAATTTCTTGTACAAGTCCGCTCCTACCTTGGGAAAAACTCTCCTGAAATTCTGCATAAAAAAATCTTCGATGTCTTCAGGGAAAAGATCGTCGAGCTGACTTAATACCCCGGAATGCAATTGATTGCTGAGAGCCCTCACAATGTAGAAGGCGTACAAAAACAACCCATCGCACTTCTTTGCTATGTCATCCACCGAAATCGGCAAACGGGAGAAATCAACGCTTTTCTCCAAATATAGTTTTATGTCCTGTTCGTGCTGTTGATAGAACTTAACGTTTTCTCTGTTCCCTGCGCAAATTTTAATACAGGATTTGTACTTTTTCAATCTGAATTGAACACAGTCCTCAGGGCGACTGGTAATAAAAAACACAAGCCATTGTGGAAGCATGAGAAAACGGCGCATTATAAGATCGAGAAAATCTTCCCTGGACTCGTATTCTGTTTCATCAAGAGCGTCAATAATGACTAACTTTCTCGGGTAAGCAGGAGCGCATTGAGCCAGTGGCTCTTGTAATAATTTGGTAAACAATTCCTGAACACCTAGAGCAGAATTACCTAAGGAATTTCTAATGCCAACCTCCCCTCCCACAAGACTAGTGTACTGCTCATTACATTTGCAAAGTTGACATGCGATAGTCCCCAGTAGATACCTGGGATTGTTTCTTGTGGCATCGTTGTGGCGGCAGAAATAGGCCGCTGCTAAGTTTCCAGCGTTTCTCTTTTGGTGAGCTAAGACAGCAGCCAAGACACTCTTGCCGACTCCTGCATCTCCAAGCAGAAAATACGCTCTAGAGTCTCCAGGGTCCTCGAACCATTTGTTGAAATCTTCGAAAAGCCACTTTCTCGTATCTGGATGATAACGTTCGGCAAACAAGCTGATTTCCGCTTCACAACTGGCAATCTCTGAGATATCAAAAAGAATAAGACGTTGAGGTAGTGTTAACTGGCATCACTTGCAACGATGATTTCTCACAAAGCAATGTTGCTCGAAAAAATGAACATTGTGTAACATGATAGTAACGAAGATTACTTGCGCAACTTTTGACTCAGCGACGCGAATTTTTACTTGGGTTCAAAAACTCGAAGTGCAAGATGACGAATACTCACAAAACTGTCTCGTGTTGCATGGCTATCGCCGTATTTATCGCGCAGCACCCTCCGAGAACCCCTTTCACTTCCCCTATCATGATGTACACGAGGCCACATAAACAAACAAAATGGCAGAAGCCTGTATACGAGTACGAGTTGAAAAACCGGAATGAGAAAGCTTATCTCTGGTAATGTCAAGGCTGTAAAAACACTCCTGATAAAACAGTCCCAAATTAAATTATTTTCCTTTCCTACATCATGTTTGGTCTAACGTCGCTCAATAAACATTTGCATTGTAAAGCGATGATCTTAATTTACAAGGTTTTCTCTTGCTTGCATCGGACTACAAACCTCCAAAGTTTTTCGCCTCGAAAACGATATGCCGATATATTTTCACTGATTGAAATTGTTGGGGCCAATTTTTCCCTTTGTTTTCGTTTTCTCACTTGTCATCGTGTAATTTTTTTTGCACTTCGCTATTTGTTAATTACGCTCCTTTGTTACGTGCCGTATGTAAATTTAATTATATAATTTGTTGTCTTGCCACTTTCTCTTTACCAGTTTTTTCGTGTCTATCCGTGAAACAGTGTTCATAGCAGTAGACTTTTTCTTTTTGTCGGTTTCCCCAACCACCAACCCCAGTTATCTCAGCACTTGTAAAACATTTGATGAGGCATCGCGTTGTGTTTTCTTCGAATTGGCCCTTGCCTGTTCAGAAATTAACATGTGGCAGTGAATTCCACAAGTTGTTGTTGTTGTTGTTTTTTTAATCAGAAAAGCATAGAATTATTTTCGTTTGCTCTAAAAGTGCCGCCAATGTTTGTATAAGATAATTCCATGATGATATGGCTTCAGGCTCAGGCGAGTTCGGGACAAGTAATTACCGCAGTATCAATCAACAGTGTCTACACCTTAGTGAGTGAGTGAGTGTAAGTGACTCATTTGCAAATAGGAGTCCCTATAAAAATTTGTTTCATCGCCGCGCTTTGCGCATATCCACGAGTTCCAAGTTAAGCCAGGCTTTACTTTAAAATGATTGAGTATTATCACATTGTAAGACAAAGTCTCATGAAGAATCAAGATGTTACACATTACCATGACAGATTTGGGATTTAGTCCCTTCCAGATGTTCAACACGTTGTTGGACATTTGCTTGTTCAGTTTTTAGTTCATGCAGTTCATTTTTCTGGTCTTGTACTTTGGCAGTTAGTAACTGTTGTTCTTGTTCCACCTTGAAAACGCGTTTTTCCAGCTCTTCCAGATCACCTACAGCGTCATGAAGCGCAGTCTTCAATTGCGCTCTTTCTTCCTCTTTTTCAAATGCCAGCTTATCAACGTCGTTCTTCAGAGCGATGAGATCTTGTTGAACAGCCTTCACAAGATCAGGGTCGATAGTAGCGTTTATACACAGTATGGCTCCTGAGATAAAAGAAACCATACTCAGGACTAAACCTACCAACATGCACTTAGTATATGTAACAACATGATTTCGAGCGCAATTTGGTGTAAATAAACACGAGAGAATTTTTCACCAAATTGCACGAGAAATCATGATGTTACTTTTGATTAATTACCATGAGAAAAGAATCACAGAAAGTTAAGACAGACGGAATTTTGAATGCACGCGCGCGCTATTTGCAATTTGCACTCGTGTTACAACTTTGCACTCGTGTTACATGAAAAGTGCACTCGTTTTCAGGCAATCAGACGAGCGTAATTTTTTCATGTATATTACTATAGTCCTTATAACTAAACCCTTCTTTTTGTCCTCCATCAAGGTCATCACTGGCTGATTTTCCTTCCTTCATCCACATGAACCACTCTAATGCTTTTTTTTTAATGAAGCGTGGATGGAATTTCTTTGATAGTAACGTTTGATTTTCTGTTAGGAGTGTTACCATAGGAACACCATTTCCGGTCTCTTCAAAAGTTGTACCATTCAACTTGAATTTAGCGATAATACTCCACGGTGATTCTCGTCGTCCAAATTGAAATTGAAATTTGGGGTGTTAGTTTTAAGGAGAGAGGGGGGAAGGGCAAACTACAAATTCACAATCATGCTCAAAGGCCTCGCTTTCAGTCACCACGTTTGTCACGGGTATTCATCGTGCGTATCGAGAAAGGGTCTCTTATTCCGCCCCATTTTCCGCGCCATACAAAAATTCCTTTCGCCACTGGTAACGCATAGGAACTTTCGCCGAATCCAGGCGAAAAAGGTCGTGAACTAGAGCAACTTGGGTTTAACCAGGCGGGACTGGGATGAAATTGTTCAGCGGTTGCGGGATTAAAAGATTTTATTTTGGGCCCTATGGCACTAGCTCTACAGTGGCACCTCCGACGGGACTCGCAAAGCATGGAGGAACTAACCAAAGAAGCAGAGGCTAAATTGCAGATGTTGCTGTACACTAATGGAAAAACACATGGCATTGTGGAAAAGGGAAACCTAGGAGCGGTCGCGCGACATCGTGACAACCTACAAGCATTAGTAAAAGAAATAGACGCGCTTAAACTAAAGGTTGAACAAACCATGTTCGAGGCCGGGAAAAGTGCAGAAGACGTTGGAAGTTGGAGCGGTAGCATTGAAGAACCGATCGCCGAAGCTGACGAAGAAGTTTCGCGACTAGAAAAATGGCTCGTGGAGACGAATGGAGAGATTGAACATCGAAAGCAAAAGGACGAAGAAGAAAGGAAAGCCCGAGCTCGTGAAGAGGAGCTTAAATTCGAAAGAGAGCAAATGGAGATGAAGCTAGAATTCGAACGCCAACTGGAAGAGACCAAAACAGCAACCTGTTGAGAAAGCTAATCAGAGTGAACAAAGGACAACAAAGCTACCGAGACTACAGATCACAAAGTTTAATGGGCCGTATGAAGCATGGCTGCCGTTCTGGAACAAATTTCAAGCCGAAATTGATAAAGCAAACCTTGCATCTGTGACCAAGTTTGCGTACCTAAAAGAGCTGGTAGATGCAAAGGTTCGAGCGGAGATAGACGGACTACCTTTCACAACAGAGAGGGCAAAGAATATCCTCATCGGCGAATATGGGAAAATGAGCGAGATCGTAAATGCGTACGCCCAGAACATCGCGAATTTGCCTGTCATAACAGGAACACAACCTGCGCCTATCCACGAATTTTACAAGAAGCTCGTGTACAATGTGCAATCTTTGGAAACACTGGGCAAATTGAAAGACGTGACTGGAAATGTAAGGAGTGTGCTCGACAAACTAAAGGATGTAAAAGCAGATCTAGTAAGAGGAAATATTGACTGGCAGGACTGGGACTTCCCACGGTTGATAAAAGCTTTGAAAAGTTGGAAGGAAATCAACCCCATTGTGAGCGGCGCGGATAATGCGGGGAAGCAAGGTGCTAAATTCCGCGATCGCGAAAAAACATTTCACGCAAACGAAACTACGCCAACACAAAGAGGGTGTGTTTACTGTGACGCAACTGACCACACAGCTGTAAATTGTAACAAGCTTGTGACAGTTGGAGACCGCAGGAAGCAATTAGGTCTGAAACAGCTGTGTTTTAATTGCACAGGAAGTCGACACCGCGCTTCTGAGTGCAAATGCCGTTCTGGCTGCCAGATCTGCAGCCGAAGACATCATACATCGATCTGTGACAAACATACATCGCGAGACCAGCTGATGACCACAACGAGCGTAGAAAGGGAAAGGAGTGGTGTATCCTATGGTTACAGTTGACGTGAATGGTGTTAAGTGCCGAGCATTGTTGGATACGGGAGCCGGAAGTTCCTACGCTTCATCAACGCTTCTGGACTGTTTACATTTGTGCCCTATCCGTCAACAATTCAAGCGCATTGAAATGATGTTTGGTACTTCAAACAAAGCGATAGACATCTATGGCCTACAAATTCGAAGCGTTGATGGTAAATTCACCTTGGAAGCCGAAGTAAACAAAGTCGACCGCAAAGAGTTGTTGACATTGGAAAACCCAAAATGCGCAGAAATCGTAGTTCAGTTTTCTCATTTGAAGGGCGTAACCACAAATGATAACGACGAGAAAGCGATGTTGCCCGTTTATCTGATCCTTGGAGTACGCTAATATAAAAACAGGGGCAAGACCAAGAGTTGGGCGCTCGGGAGAACCAGTAGCAGAATATACGAAGTTCGGCGGGACGATCTTGTCACCTGGAACGGAGTTGGATCTCAGCAACATGTTCTTAACGCAGGCCCCCGAAATCGATTACGAAGAATTGTGCAAGTTAGACGTCCAAGTGGTGACCAGGAAACCGTTTACGTAGAGTTCAAAGAGCAACTAACCAGGAGTTCAGAAGGCTGGTACAAGACGAACCTGCCCTGGAAAGGAAATCCTCCTCCCCTACCGAACAATAACACTGGAAGTTTAAAACGTCTCAAAAATATTGTGCGGAAGTTAGAGATGCAAGGCGAGCTGCAGAGGTACAACGACATTATCCAGACTCAACTGAGTCAAGGGATCGTGGAACGCGCTGATGAGGTGGTCAAGTCAGCTTCCCGATTTCAACCGCTGAGCCGACAAAAAGGGGTATCCTGGGAAAAGTCGCAAAAATCTACGATCCACTCGGTCTGGCTTCACCCGTGACCCTCTCTAAATGCTCTACAGAGATACCTGCGACACGAAGATCGCGTGGGATAGGCCCCTACCAAGTGACTTACAAGCCAAATGGAAGAAATGGGAGCAAGGACTTCCAAAGCACGTGAACGCGCCAAGAAATGTCGCGCGACAGATGATTGAACAATAGGATCATATAGGATCATATTATATATTTAAAATGAGAGAGACCAGAGCGTGAGACAGAGAACGGAGAGAGGGAGAGGGAGATTAAGTTGATATCATAAAATAAAACGTGAAGTTTCGGGACATAGCAGATTCTTTAGTCTCATTTCCGACAATCTCTCTTCTACCAGCAGAAAAAGGAAACAAGTTGTCAGTCCAAGTTAGCAGCTGAGAATTGGCGTGTTAGCCTCATTAGGCCTTTGTACATTATGAAGTCCAACAAAGAAAGAAGAGTACACGTCAAGGTAGGTTGTCTCCGCGTTTGGTTTCACCGCTACTTTTTCATTCAAATGCGACGAGAGTTCTTGCACTTTACGGAGGGTAGTTGAAACTTAAAAAACAACTCAACGATAAAAGAAACGGTAAAAAAGTATGTAAACAAAAAAACGAACAGACTTTTAATCCACGCATGATTATACTCCTTAGCACTGAAAAGGAAAGACTTTCTATTGTAACCTTTATCATTACCTTTTTTCTCCCAGTCTTCTAATTCTTTTAGAAGGGTATCCTTGGCTGCAATTGGCAGGCCCAGTTGTTTCACCAGCTGTTTCATCTTGTCAAAGCTCTGCTGAAAACCTATTTGGTCCCACTTACCAAACTCGCAGTGTGCCCAGGAATTCCTGGCCTGTCTTACATTGCCAGCTGCAGTCTGGACAACAGCAGGAAACACAGGAACTTTACCAAGCAATGCAAGCAAAGCTGACGCATCACAATGTTCGTCAAATGCGTTGAACTTGGCCATGTGATTCTCCACATACAGCTTGGCGAAGTCAATGTGTGACGTCACCCGGTAGTCAAACGTGAGATAGTCATACTTTCTACCAGGTTTCTTGGGTAATGTGTCGTTTCCATTGATGTTCTCATACTTTAAAGCCACTGTGTGCCTTTGGAGTCGCCCTGTATAGCTCTGAGTATGGATGTTATGCTTGGCTTGAAGATTTCCATACTCTCTCTGAATCTCTTGTTCAACAAACGGTCGTATTTCTGCGACTAGAACCTTGTTTAGAGCAACTCCGAAGACTACCCATCGCTTCTGGTCGTCAGAAAGAATCATACTGGACGATTCATTGCTGACCTCTGAAAAAGAAACATTTACAGACAGGATCAAATACAAAGAGGTCTGTTAACAAAAGTTTATTCTTCAACAGACTTTTTGATTGACGCATTGACTCTTAGCACGCTCCACCAAAAATTTCCAATAAATCTATTGGGAAAGGCATGAAAAAAAAACTCTTTGCAATGTCAACAGTGTCCAGTTTGCCTGTAAACGATTTGTAACAATGTATCAGAGCGGAGTTGATAAATAAGGTTTAAAAGCATATCTTCTCAGCAAGAACCCTAAAATATCGCGGAACTAAATGTTCATCAATGCCAATCGTATGCTGGAATTGGGACAATGTGACAGGGGAGAGATTGGGAAGGGGGGGGGGGGGGGGGGTTTGGACTTAACCCCTAATTTTCACCTTTATCAGGGGTTAGGAGAGAACATACTTCCCTAACTCTATTATCATATTGTTTCCTTGGAAATCTTTTCAAAAAATTTCAAGGCTTTTTTACAACAAAATAGACTTTCCCTGATTTTAACTCTTGCATGCTTATCCTTATCCTGATGTTGCTATAAGCTCAATTCTCACTGAACATTTTGTGAAAATAAATGCCTTTGTCTTTTAACTAAACTGGAGATGAAGTTCTTAAGCTAGGTTATCCTGACCCCAGATAAATTTGTCCTGACCTTTCATGATCAAGGATAACCATGCATTACTTAACCTTATTTAGTTAATTTAGATGTTTACCATCAACAATCAAATGCACAAAAAGTAAAAAATACAAATTGTTGATAGTAAACAGGCAGAAAGCAGCCTTGTGAAGTAGTTTTGGCTATTATCATTGGAGCAAACAAGGAAAATGTTCTGAATTTAAAAATTGAGACACACTAGAAAAAGTTTTAGCCAACCAATTCAAAATAAGCTCAAACACAATTTATCTTTTGTAGTTCCCATCCATGAAACTGATTGGCTTTTGTTTTTTTTTCTTATAGATGTAGTTACCATATTTCATCATTTCCTACTGAAAGGTTCAACTGTGCATTAAAATTTCAGTCACAGGGAACAAGAAAGGACACCTTTCATCAAAAACAACAGATTCCAGGGGCTGACCCTGACACCAAAAATATTTGTAACAAGAGGATCACATGTTATTACTCAGTATATATGCCTTACTGACCAAGCATGAGGTCAAGATAGCTGGATATTGGTTGAGTCCATCAGCCCATCTTACCCCCTCAGGTAGCCAATCAGATTACAAGATTTGTTTCATAAAGCCCAAAGGCATTACAGAGATGTAATAAGAGGTGTTATAGAGTTATAATTATGTCTTGAAATATTTCTAAGTCTACTTAGGCTATAACGTGAAAAAATGTGGTGTTTTTCTGAGTCAAAGTTTGAACCACAATCCTTGAATATGAGGGGTAAATATCCCCATATGGAAGAAAAGTAAGAAAAAATGATCTTAAATACATGCACTGTGTTATATATATAACAGAGTGCATGTATTTAAGATCATGTATGCAGCTAGCATTAGTTCATATAGTTTATTTTGACTGATATTCTAGGCCAGGTTACAAAATTAAGTGGACATTAATGCCTTCTCTCCTAAAAATTAGCATAAATTATACTTGACAAGGAATCATCAGAAGTTCAAATTTTGATTGATGGGCTACACTGCAGTATATGTACAGCCCCAAATTAGCCATTATTCCCTCAATGGGTTCTCCCCAATAACATGATTCACCCTAAAGAGTTTACCAATGTGCTTATGTACAGTGACCTGTCCAGGCCTTGGTACTACTGGTACTACTGAATGCATTTGAAAGGAGCCAGCCATGTTTTTTTGCTTACACTGACATTCTCTTGACATCATGTAAGTATGCTTGTTGGTGTTGTAGCCTGCTCTTAGGTCATTGCTTTACCTGCTAATGTCTGTGTATTGTCAGTAAGACTCCCTCATTGCTCAAGATCAATAAACAAATAAAAAAAGGAGGTTGTTTCTTCAAACCCTATTGGATAATCAGCTTTAATATGATACCTGCTCCCCTGACTCCTACACCTGTGCTTACACAATGAAATTGCATAAAAGATGCCATGCAAAACACTTTTCTCATGCAGCACCATCTTGGATTCTGTGGCCCACCAAATTGAGGCTGGATGGGCATAAGTTACAGAGGTGTGTTACATTACAGTGTTTTGAGTGAAGATTACAAGCAAGCATGGCCCAAGATCATTGTTGCATTAACTTATGTAGTTACGACAAACAAAATGATAGTGGTGAGAATTTATCTTTCTTCAATTTTCCTTCAAATGATTTTATTGAGATCAAAATGAATTGCCGTCACATCATCACCTCGAGTCCATGCCAGTCTGTCTCTACCTTTATTCTCATAAAAATTAAAAACAAATATTGACGGAACATTGGAGTCTGATACACAATCAGCCCTTGCTGAAAACAATTTTTTTACAATAACCTCCAATCTTCTCTTACAAAAAAGGAACATCCCTTAAAGACATGCTTGTGAGAGCAAAAAAATGAATAAATAATTTGAAGGCAATAATGCGATGCTACCACAAAAGTCTGTGTTGGTCTGTCTTTACATTCATTCTTATTTTCAAGAGATTTCAACCACACAAAAGAAGCCATTACTCCCTCAGCCATAGTGACCAATACAAACATGCCGAACAGAATGCCCCTCTTGCCTCAATTTGGTGCACCACGCAATCCAAAATGGTGCTGCATGATAAAAGTGTAATCACTAGTTCATGGTTGTGCCTAAATTCTACTGGCTAGAGGTACGCCCGAGGAGCACTAGTAAGGAGTTTCCAAGTCGGGTGATAATCGAAAATTGTCAGCTATTGCAATATGGCAGACTACTCCAGACTCCAGTAACACCATTTGCGATTTATGAACAGTCAAGCGATGTGATTGAACCAGACATGAACATTATAACATGCTTTACATGTGAAGAATACATTATTGAGTTTAAATCAAGGAAATTTTGCTAAATTTTGTGTGGCTGTTTCCTTCACCCTTGTCGATCTTAAGTTTCTTGTTCAGCAGAGTTTTAGCTTAACACTGTAGCCGCTAAGACCTACGCTTGCAAAGGTAAACAAAACTTATGAATAGTATCGCCACTATAATGCCCTTGTCATTGTGCTACTGGTTAGAAAGATCCCCAAGATGAAATTTCTATTGCCTTGTACCTCTAGCTGGTAGGATCTAAGGTGGCTTAGAAAATACTACCGGCTAGAGGTACAGCTTGCATACTTAGTCAACTTTGCTCAGTTGTTCCTATGGTTTGCTTCACATTTTTTTCTGCACGACAAATTAGTCTTACACTCCTTTGAATCACCTTTTTCAAGAATACATATACATTTATTTATTTTTAATTGGTCTTGTACCTCTACCTGGTAGGATCTTATGAGGCTTAGAAGATACTACCAGCTAGAGGTACAGCTGGCACATTTGGTTGACTTTGCCCAATTTCTAACATGGTTTGCTTCACATTTTACTTTTCTGCACTCCAAATTAGTCTTATACCTCTTTGAATCCCTTTTTTCAACAATGAGTATGATTCTATTTATTTTCTTTTGGTCTTGTACCTCTAGCAGGTAGGATCCCAGGGGGGTTGGAATATACTACTGGCTAGAGGTACAGCTTGCATACTTAATCCACTTTACATTTATTTTTATTTGGTCTTGTACCTCTAGCTGGTAGGATCTTAAGAGGTTTAGAAAATACTACCAGCTAGAGGTACAGCTTGCATATTGCAAGCTGCACTTCAAGTATTTTCTAAGCATCCTATGATCCTACTAGCCAGAGGTTATAGACTAAATAAGTGTAAGACTAATTTGGAGTCTGGAAAAGTAAAATGAGCAAACTGTACTTAAAATTGGGCAAAGTTGACTAAAAATGCAAGCTACACCTCTAGCTGGTAGTCCGTTCTAAGCCTCCTGAGATCCTACCAGCTAGAGATACAAGACCAAATAAAAGAAAAAAAAATTCAAATGCATTCCTAAAAAAAATAAAATGATTCCAAAGAGTGTAAGGCTACAACTTGGCGTGCAGAAAAGTAAAATGTAGAGCAAAACATAATAAGAATTGGCAAAGTCCACTAAGTATGTTAGCTAGTAGTATAATTTAACTTGTGATCCTACCAGCCAGAGGTACAAGACCAAATAAAAAAAATAAATGTAAATGTAATCTGACTTGTGAAAAATGATTCCAAGGAGTGTAAGACTACAACTTGGAGTGCAGAAAAGTAAAACGTGGAGCAAACCATGATTAAAATTGGGCAGAGTCCACTGAGTATGCCAGCTGTACCTCTAGCCAGTAACTTAATTTCATAAGCCCCCTAAGATCCTACCAGCTAGAAGTACAAGACCAAATAAAAAGAACTGACTGTCGTGCAGAAAAAAACGTGAAGCAAACCATAGTAACAACTGAGCAAAGTTGACTAAGTATGCAAGCTGTACCTCTAGCCGGTAGTATTTTCTAAGCCTCCTGAGATTCAACTGGCTAGAGGTACAAGACAATTTAGAAATTTTATCTTAGGGACCTTTCCAACCAGTAGCACCATGACAAGTGCATTATAGTGGTGATACTATTCATAAGTTTTGTTTACCTTTGCAAGCGTAGGTCTTAGCAGCTACAGTGTTTAGCTAAAACTCTGCTGAACAAGAAACTTAAGATTGACAAGGGAGAAGGAAACAGCCACACAAAATTTAGCAAAATTTCCTTGATTTAAACTCAACAATGTATTCTTCACATGTAAAGCATGTTCTAATGTTCATGTCTGGTTCAATCATGTCGCTTGACTGTTGGTAAATCGCAAATGGTGTTACTGGAGTAGTCTGCCATATTGCAATAGCTGACAATTTCCAATAATCACCTGACTTGGAAACTCCCAACTAGTGCTCCTTGTGTGTACCTCTAGCTCGTAGGAGTTAGGCACAACCCTCATTCATATGCATCCCATATGCATGAATATAAAGTAACACATTTATCATCATCAAGGTCTATAATACATGCAACCAGTTCCTTCCAGTGACTAGAAGATAAAACATGTACATGATCCTGAAGTTAGCTGTTGTTTAAGTATATGAGTGATTTCCTTGCAATCTCATTAACGAAAATTTGTGATAGCTGTTTGTCTTAAAATGACATAAGCACTAAAACATGGAACAACCTAAAACCACCATATTTTGTAACTTGATAGTTCATTTTGAAAAGTCTTTTACCCATAAGTAATCAGTTGATTTTGCATTAAACATGTGCCACTGCAGGTAATAGGGAGGTGCAGGTTATGTGACAATTTTAAAATCTACTGGTAGTTGCATTGAAAAAAATTCTCACCTACATGCATTTCCACCTCTCAAATGAATTTTATTGTATTAAGAGTGCCACAAAGCAGCACGAAAACATGATGCCAACTCAAGTTTATTTCATGCATAATTAGTTGTGTGATGAACAAATTGTTATCGGCACACATGAAAACAAAACTGTGATGGTGACAAAAATAATCCAAAGATATCCAGCACATCAGTAACAAATTTCCATTTAACACTGCCTTGAGTCTAAGATAATTTTCCCATTTTTAAGGGACTTATTAGACCCAATAGAACCGGAGATATCTATTTTTTTCAGAAATTGCCGACAGTACTTCATAATTCAAGTTTTAACACTCACCCAGCTTTCTTTTAACAAATCAACATGATGCATTCTGTCAAGTATGAAACGTTGAGATTTGGGTATGGGCCGCTAGTGTTTTTACTGTATAATTTTATCAATAAAGTACATGCTAATATTGACACAGAATTGTGCACACATCTGAATTTCTTTGACCTTTAAACTCGACAAAGAAGCTTTCAAGTTTTCAAAAGTTAGATCAGACAACTTTTAAAAGACCGAAATGTATCACCTTAATGTCACGTTTTCGCCAACAAAAAGTTGAATAACAACGTGCAGGTTATCCACCAATGCAGGTATCTGTTGACTTTTTTTTTGCCCAATGCAATAAACAGCCAGTGCAGTTAATCAGCTGTGCAGGTAAACGGCCAGAAATTACGGTAATATAAAATATAATTTGCATGCTCTCACGTTTAATTTCGTGAGATGGTTGATTACACAACGGACCAGGGAGAGTTAGATTTCAGGGGGAGGTGGAGGTTTTGTTTCATTCCTGTATTTCATGTATGTGACATGTTGTTGTCACCTTATTTTAGACATTTATGCCTTGCGTTAGATGGTTTTAGATTGTTTGCAAGTGGCTGTATATGTTTTTGAGGGGGTTGTGGGTGGTTTTAGGAGGTTTTAGGTCGTTCCATGTTTTAGTGCTTACGCTTATTATAATTGGTTGTGAATAAACGAATTTCTGAATTTTATGAGATTTTAACCAAACGAATTACCATGCATACATATGATATAAATAAGAAGAGGTTAGAAACGCAAGAATGTGTAAAGAAGCTTTGTGAAAGCCAGGCCAAGTTGGAAATAAAAGCAAAACCATCGCACACTATGTGACTGATGGCATCACTTCTTTAGTTATAGTACGCTGTATAACCTAAACGAAATTACTTTTGTAAAATAACTGTTAGCATTTTTCTTAACACTTTTGTTTTCTGTGGTTAAATAAGCATTTGGGCAGTTTAAGTATGTTCGCTATAACTTAATATAAACTAAGCGTGGATGTACATGTTGCGCGCGAAACTTCGATAGAACTTGGCATTTTCCATCGAAAACAAACTCATTACGATGCTCAGTTTAGGAATCGTAAAAATATCCATCTTACCTATTTTAACGTAGTTGATCTCTTCTTGCAAGGGAAAGTAAAGTTACGAATACGCAGCAGAAATTTCGAGTAAAGGCATTTGGAAATCTAAACCAGCTGTAATGGGTCGTTTTCCATTTATGGGAACTTCCGGGCAACAGATATTCGTCCCAGGTCGTGTAGTCCCTCCGAGCCTGCAAGGGGCCTGGAGAATTAAGTCATGTCGTTCCTTTTCTTTGATTTCTCCTTCAAATACTAATATTTCCCAGTCTACTTAAGTCTTTGACGGGATTGATAACTTGAAAAAAAGGCCTCATTTGTCTCTGGATCCAAGATAAGAAAGAGAGATGGATAAAAGTCAACTTCGCAGTCTACGATAATCCAAACGTCTACAAGCGGATCATTCATCCGCTGCGAATGTCTCACCCACGCCACAACAACAATCTAGTTTACTATTTTTCTCCTTGAACCGATGTTACGAAGCCAAACATCATTTGGTTGTACGCTTCAAGACTTTTGAATGCTTTAAATTGTTTATTTGTTTAATAACTTGTCTCCAGAACTAAATAAGAAAGAAGGTCCAAGACTTCTTTTGGGGGCAGACATTCTGAGTTGAACTGCTCGCTTGGAATGGCTACTAGATCGACACCAACCACATAAACTTTCTTAAAATATCGCCTTGAACGTGGCTTTCCAGGTCCTCTGCGTAGTTCGAAAGCACAGGTATCATAAGGAAAATATTCTCTTGTGATTCTGGATTTTTTTCACGAGAAATATATATAAAACAAAGTATTTGAAAGAGGGCACTATAGAGATGGCAATATATTTGCATGAAATTTCACACCTAAGATGGGCACCAACATGGTGGACTCTTAATTTGCATAAATGTATGACGTCAGCCGCAAACCGAGAGTAGGCCTTGGAGACTACAGGAACATCAGAAATAGGCTCCTGGACGATCACGAAAGAAAACACTGCAAACGCAATTTTCTACTGCATCTGGATCAGTAGATTGCCTCTCCAAGTTCTAGTCAAAGAAGACCAGCAAACGAACGGGACCACTCTGCAAACACGGCGGGGCTCTGAGAAGAACTGAAGGCCGCCAGAAGAAGCTACTAGATTGCGGTCCAATAGATTGCCTTGAACATCAAGACTGATGGAAATTTTGGCGTGGGTCAACATATCGAGTACGAGTACCCCTCTCGCTCATTTTCGTTGTAGTTAAAGAAAGCCAACAACGTTAATGCCAAAATTATTGCAACAATGTTTACGAAACTCTCGAATAGGCATCCTAATAATTCAATCAAGCCTCCACATATGACCCAATATTTGTTCGCCCAGTTCAATTAAACTTCGAATAACAGTTTAAGTCGCTTAGGCAATGCGGGAAATTTGCACAGATTAAGAGGCCTCCACTAACCGCAAAGCGAATTTAAGCCTTGATATTGAAACCGCTAATTAGCCGAGCTATTTAGAGAATGTTTTAAAATTAAACTGGAGATAACAAAATTACTTTGTCCAAGAAATGACGAAGAAGTGCCAAAGATCTTACATAGTCGATTAAGATCGTGTACAACTTAATAATACGATGTAAATGATACAAAACGCATTTATGATAAACACCTCTCTCTTTTGTACAGTCCTTCTTTAGTGTACATAGTGTTCAAATAAAAGGTTCCTCAGTTCAAAACCGCAAGTCTTTGTATCAACAATAAATTTAAGCGCCCAAGCGATTTCTTTGTGTTTAATTTTCGGAAGTGTTCTTCATATATTGATCAGAAAGGTGCAAGAGGTTAAGGTTAAAAATGTGCTTTTTCAGAGAAAATGCCGTATTCTGATCACGTATGCACTAAAATGCAAAAATTTTGAAGAAGTTCGAAACTCGATCGTAAGTTTTCTTTTGATGACAGACGTTCGGAATATAAGTGGACATTTGACCCTTAGGCTATTAGCATGAATGAAATATGTAAATACCCTAACACATTTTTGTTTACATGTTTGACAGAAAACTTTGTGTATAATTATTCCAGAAGAGTCGATCGAATCCTAGATACAACCTTTTAAAAGAACAGATGTTCCGCCTGGCGCCTAATAGGCTTCCTATTTAAAACTGAATTGAATTTCAGCGAAAATACTTGAAGGAGAAATTCAGTTCGAAGCTTTTATTGCACGACACCTCCTAGAGTACATATTGATTTAACACACAGATAAGTGACCGCACCATGGCACGCTGAGTGCTGCAAAAAATATATATATATATCAGCATCCCGCCTCGGTTGTGTTCATACATTTGACGCAATACCACCGCGTCAGGTTAAAGCGAAAATAGCGTCGTCTTATATCGCGTCGCATGTCACGGGTTGCCGCTTGAATTTGAGTCTCCACGTCGCAGGATTGTCGAGTCCTTACGCCGATTCAAAAGATTCAATCTTTCTAGAGAAGGTACACATCAAAGAGAAGCGGCCATCGAGGAAATGTGGCGTGAATAGAACAGTGGCGTGTGTCATGCATGGAGAAACAGACGACGGCAAAGCATAAACATTATAACACATTCTTATGTGATTAGACGCCCTCACAGGGTCTTGGCATGTCACGTTAGCATTGAACTGCAATATTTACAAAGAAAATCCACAGTTCACTGTGACCTGTACCTGTTTTAGAATTGAAGAATAACATCGATATCAAAGCAAAACAAAGAATAACTTGATCGCACACAATTCGTGATTGGTAATAGCTGAAATATTGGCCCTCTCCGAGTGACGTTGTGCTCCTATATAAGCGATCACTTTCTGTCGGCGGACAGTTATAACTAAGAGGAAAGAGTGATCTTGCTTTCAACACTCAAAGGGGCTAAAATGGGTTTCGACATTGAAAGGTTTACCGGAAAAGTCAACGAAGGGCTTCTGTGTTCCATCTGCCGCGACGTTCTGGAAGAACCATTACAAGCCCCGTGCGAGCATGCGTTTTGTTCAACTTGTATTCACGCGTGGCTCACACATTATAACACTTGCCCAGAAGACCGTTTACCGCTATGGCCGAGCGACTTGAAGCCGATTTTCAGGTACATGAAAAATGATTTGGATGCGCTCAAAATAAGATGCGACAACGAAGTGCGAGGTTGTAAGGCTTTGGTGCGTTTAGATGCGCTTAAAACGCATTCGAAGGAGGAGTGTGGTTTTGTTTTGGTTCGGTGTCCAAACGAAGGTTGTAACGAGGAACTCACTAGACGCGATTTGGAGGCGCACTCTAAGACGTGCAAATTTCAGTCGGCCGAATGCAGTAAAGGATGTGGCCTAAAAGTGAGCAAAAGTGAAGAATCCGGACACAACTGTATAGCAGAACTGCGCAAAGCCTTGGCTAAACAACAGCAGGAAAGCGACGCTAAGGTTCGTGAGCTTAAAAAGGAGATGGAGACGCGACTTGATTCACATCGCGTTCACATGGTGTACAAGGAAGCCACGCTTCAAAATCAAATCGAGGATTTGAAATCTCAAGTGGCGGAGCTGATCCGTGAGACCAAATCGCTGAAAGCGCAAAAGAGAGAAGAGCTTCACAGTGAGGATCCCGAAAGGAAAGAGATCCTGGAATGGTTAAGAAGCTTGAAATATCAAGACGAAATTGCGGAGCGATATTGCAGCAGTTGTAACAAGCGGTATCTCTATGTAAGGAAGGATGCAATACACTGCTTGAATGATCAGGTATAATTCCTTGAATTTTAATGTTATGTTTTTTAAAACTTGTGATCTCAGCTTTAGAAAATCTTAGTATTCAATTCAATTTGCGACATAACAGACAAAAGAACTACGTAAATAAAAAAACGTTTTCCATATTTTATGCCCATGGCATGATATTCTCTATGCGGTTTAAGCATTTTGTTCACACTGACAACTCTAAACAATGATATTGACAACGTTTTTTCTTACTAACTCTGTAGTTTTCCGTTTGCGTGACCTTTCGGTTATTTGGGTGTAGGTGAGTCACGAACCGAAATCGTTTCCATACGGAAAAAAATAAAAAAAAAAGATTAACAACGAGATACAAGAAACAGTTCTTGGTTTTGCAACCTTCGAATATAAATCGAAAACTGTTCCCGCAAAGTTAATTTTTTAGGTTTTTCCACTTCATAATTCTTTTAATTCTTACGTTATTAACCCTTAAACTCCCAGACCAAATTTGTAATTCTCCTAACTGTCAACCATACAATTCTTGAAATGTTAGTTCAGAGAATTTAGTACTAGATTAAGTAGTTTTACCCAAATTAATAGTTTTCTTTATTCTCATCACTTGTCTGGTTGACATAATATTGACATTGTAAGGAGAAATTCCGTCTTAGTCACTCATGGGAGTTAAAGGGTTAACAACGATTTTGAAACATGCTATCAAGGATGGAACTCCATAATAAGCAAAAAACTTCATGCCCTCTTTTGTTTGAATGGCGCTCAAATAAAAAACAAGTGGCGCGTGATTTCCTTTTGCCAGTTATAAGTTCAAATTGATTAGGAGCAAAAATTATTGTTGTTAAAGAATTTTTTAACTTACGTTAAACATTTGAAGTATGAATTTTTGGGAGGATTGCGATAATCTAGATATGTAGCGACTTCAGGTAATCAAGACCTTGCCAACATTAGCAGAAGATAGTTCAAAACTACACGGGTGGTGTTTCGAATTTCGACATGCGCTATTCCGTGCACAATACCGGGTACTTAGAACTCGTTATGGTGAAATTTAAGCCCACTGTTCGTAAAGTTTTCATACTTATTTCACTAAAAAAATTCGTGCCATATAATAGGGGTGTTAAAAGCCCGTGAAAATGTTATCCTTTCGCGCAGTGTTTCACACCCTTTAAACAAAAGTTCTTGAGGCTTGCACTCGAAAAACTTGCTCCAAACAACAGTTTACGCGTCCTCATCCGGACTTCGAACGCGGCTCGGACGCGTTAACCGATCCGTTGCATCTTATACTCAGAGAAGGATTGTTTTCAACCTTCCAGGTTAACCTGAGCCGCTCGTCCTCAACTGAAGAAGACGCCATTCTCAGCCACATCCGAAGCTCCCGCGGGACAAAGCCTCGAAGTTGGTGCCCAAGTCCCGTAGGTGCGGGTCAAGCCGCGGTTTTACCTCGCTCTCAAAGCGAGGAGTCCTCGTTGAACAGAGCTGTTTTGGAATCATGGCGTCGAACGCCTGATGTTTCCACTTCACCATGTACAAACTGAAACGCTTCCAAGAACAAAGAACTCCAGATGAAGAGGAAAACTTAGATTTCCATTTACCATCATAAAGAATTGATGTTTCCTGCTTTAACTTAAAATTTGTGTTGGAGATAAAGAGGATATTCCCTTTTCAGAAACAGTTTCCATATATTAAATATCGTACTTCTAAAAGAGAGGTTAACCCGTAATGCACACACTTGAATTTTTACTCTGAAACAACGTTAATATTAGATCCTGCAACGTGTCCTAAATGCCTTTGTCCCGAGTATTTTTACCAGCACAAGCGGTTCTTGTGAAACTAGCAAAGAGGAGCTACAGATGTCCAAGGCTTTTGTGTAGTTCGAAAGTTACACATTTATCGCAAAAAGGAGAGAAAGATATGATCTTAAATACTACTTAAAAGTATGGCACAGCCTCCTGAAACGACTTCGCTTAAAACTCCCCAGCCAAGATAAATATGGACACTGGTATCAAGTTTCGAAAATTTAATGTAAAATTGAAACGAATTTTGATGGTACAAACAAATCTAATGGTTTCCTAGGTCTATTTAATCTAACTTAAATGGTTTTGTAATGCCACAATCTCTACGATAAGCTTAACTTTAACATCAACTGAAATATCAGCAAAATAAAAGTTAAATTTAAGTATGTGCGTGGATCGTTCTTTCTGGAGACTGAATTCATCGTGTAAATGATCTCATATGTCTGCCTGGATAACCTCGCCCAGCCCCAGGCCGATAACCACCAACATTTGGCGGGGGCATGAACCTAGAAGGAATGAGAGGGAGTGTTCAACACAAAACTGACTAAGAAAAACACCGAAAACCGCTGATATATTCATTGTTAGAACTTAAGTAAAAGAAAGAACGGCAACATACAACGATAGTTATATAAGAAAAACATAATTGTTTTGCGATTTATTTCTGGTGTAACAGCTTCCAACTGGCCAACGTGCTAATCCAATGATCAAACAAGCAAACCAACAGACACGCCAGACTCAGACAGATAAACAAGCAGGTCCACAAATGGACCGACACAGAGAGAAACCAGACATAGGAATGACAGAAAAACTGAACGAGAGTCTCACCGCGAGTCATCTTTAGACTTGGGCGCATCCCAGTAACCTCGCATCTGTGGTCGATTATAGTTATTTCTCATTCCTCCTCCACCACCTGAGAACAAGCCCACACCAACTATCAATACAAATATTTTTCACTTTCCTCATCGATCTACTAAGTTTTTCTGCAAGGGAACAAGGCTTTAATAAAGAAAAAAAGTTAAAGAGTCAGCACACTCTCAGTTACCTCTATACGGCTGAGGAGTTTGCGATCCCCAATCCGGTCTGAAAAAAGAATAATAATAGTCAAACGTGTCATAGACCACACAGAAAAAGAATGACAAACGAACAAAATCAGCTAGGGCTTCGTGCCGTGCTCTAGAAGAAACATAAGTGAAGATCAATCCCGGGTCACTCAAAATTGAAAACGACATAGGATAAAGGTGAAAAAATTTCCATATTATGAATTAAAGTATATCATTACAATAAAGGCTTAAATATTATTTCTCCCTGTGTATTAATTTTCGGGCGCGCGATTAATTATCTCCCCTTCCTGAAAATAAGAGGTTCGGCGCGCTATCACGCAATGCTCTCGCCAGAATATAAAAGACATGTGACGAGACCCTACGACATTCTGTGAAGCAGGAAAACGCTTTATTGAGAAGGCTTAACTCAGGGCTCCTATCAATCAGTCGATCGATTACTTGATACAGGGATGACATTCCCTCCATGACTGAGTCAGAGGCTTGTGCACAAAAAGTGTGACTAAAAGTAAAATCAAACCTACCCATTCAGTGAAGGGCTACAAACGAAAAAAGGGCCCCTTGAACCACTTTATCTGTTGTTCAAGGGACATTTCTACTCAGGGAGCAATTTTTCTACTCCCCAAGGCGTTCCCTACATTGAGGTTCCTCTTTTACGATTACCACTGGCAGTTATCTTACCCTCTCTGGAAATTCCTTTGTCCCGGAAAGGCGATAGGATGCTGTCGTGGGTTTCCCCAGTCAGGTCCTGCCCCGCGCATTCCTCCTTGAGTAACCATGCCAGGACCTTCAAGAAATCAAACCATATTCATGAGAAGGAGATACAAGGAAACACTGCCCACTGTAAATAACATCGGAAAGAAAAGTTGATGTTTAGTACAAGAAGAAGGCACCTTTTCGAAGTGGTCCCCCCGGCATAGCCGTCCAACGGCCCTGATTTCCCATGAAGTTGCCTGGGCCATGGTCCATCGATCTACCTGGTGGAGGACCCTGAAAACCACGCAAAAAATGTTAAGCAGCTTTATATAGCACGATAAACAGAAATATGTTAGTAAGCTTAACTACCTGCAAACGTCAAATTATTCTTCATCGACCTATGAGGTCTTTCATTATCTTATGAAGCGCACGTGATAAACATTCAAGCATTAACTTGTATATCGTACCTTGGGACCAGTCCTTCGCATCGGAGGCGGCGAGTCCTGGGTCTTAGCATTTTCCATTGCCATGAAGTCATCCACGTGCATGGAGGGTGGACGGCTCGTATTTTGCTTGCGTGATCGGAACAAGTCATTCATGCGAGGGTTGCCTCGACCCCGTGGCATACCCCTCGTGCCTCGACCACCGCCTCTCATTGGCGCTGAAGGAGCTACCATAGGTGAGAGAGCAAACGAGAAAAATAAGAACTAAGGAAAGATAATTTGAGTTTGCAAAAATGGTTAAGACTACAAACGAGACCGTCTGACTCACAAATCTGTAAGAGCTTATCTTGGTCTCTGTATCAATAAGCGACTAAAACTATTGCCATTCCCCTGGATGGGATGTTAGTCCGTCGTCAATTACGTCCTGATTTTCGTACCAAGTACACTTAAACACCTCCTAGATGGAGGGAAGAGCAGCGGGAATACAGCATAATGATCCTGCTCAGATCCAGAGTCTACCTTAACACCACGCGTCAACAGCTTAGGAAGTTTAAGTAAAAACTGAATATATGCTGGGAGAAGCTCGACAGATTTCCCAAAAGTGTTCACTGAATATTTCTGTTTTGCAAAGTGAAGCGTTTAGTACTTAAGCCTTATACACACCTGTCCTGGCTTTCTTATTATCCTTTCGCTGACCAGATATCAAGGGATCGTACTTTCTCTTGTTTCTAGGACAAAAATAACAAAGGATAAGTTGACTTATTCACCGATCATCACGTTAACAGATCCCAAGATCTTTTTTAGTTGCAAAAGAAGGAGCTTTACCTGTGAGCTTTCTTGCGCGTCGGGGAGCCTGGGGGAGAAGGAACCAGTCCTTTTTCTAACTCGGCCTTGAGATCAAAGTCCGGAGAGAACTTCTCTGTCAGAGAATCAACACCGATTTTTATCTGTGAATTTAAAAGCGTTCCACATGAGAACATTTTTTTTGAAAACAAACAAAAAGATAAGCATGCAGTTACATACAAATAAATTTTGGAAAACCCCCATTTTGACGAACTTAAAACTTGTACAGATTTTCAAGCCAAGCTCCATCGCATTCTTGAATTGAACTCAATACACACATGATAGTACTTCAAAGTATTACGTCACAGTGAGAGCAGGAAAAAAGCCTTACCAAGTCAACTTCAGGATCGATATCGTCTGGGAGAGGGGTAGAGTACCAGAGCGTTGGACTGACCCCACCATCCTCAACTTCACCGGAAACGAAGGCCAATCTGTTGACAAACAGCGTCTGAAGCGGAAGTGGACTTGGGAGCTGTGGTTCAGTGACCTCCTCTGTGAATAACAAAAGCCTTACATCAGATGCAACAATACCCGTCCATTCTAAACCACTTTTACCCCGCAATGCACATTTTAGCTTTTCTCGGTTATTGTCTTTTGTTTGTTTGTTTAGTTTTTTTTTTCCCAACCCTTTTCACATTTTTGGCTGTTGCTATGGCATTTGCGTAATTAGCATGGCCAAAAAGTCAGTGCTCCTTTAACTCATACCTTTTACGAGTATAAATAGGCAAACATATTTACCGAGACTTAAAGTTACTTTACTTTTTGTACACTTAGCTATGTTTATAAGCTACAAGACACATAGTATTACCTGCTTCTTTTTCAGTCTCGCCTTCTGTTTTACGCAGCATAACTGTCAAAACACGAACTGCATCTAATAATGGCTCCAGAGCCTCGTCTTCTTTGCAGCTTTCCTAGAGCAACAAAGTGGCTTGTTTACATATCTACCATGTTTGATGTCTTAACGCGTTAAGCATCTGATTTAGGATCTTCCTCCTTTTCCATTTCCTCTGCACTACTTTGTTTTGTTTGTATTCCTGAACTAGTTTCATTACAACTTAAGCCTCTTTGAAAATTTAACTAAATTTTCGTCTCATTTGTCATTTGCAAATTATGTTGAACTTTTCAATTCTGAACTATCCTCGTTTCTTCTACGATACTTATTTTTTTCACTTTTTTGAAGATTTCTCCTCTTTACACCCTAACATCAGAATCTATATTTTCCATACTGTCCTTTACGCATTTCCTACAGTACTGAACACAAAAACTTGTTAACAACCAAGAACCTCTTTTTCAAAGCTCGAAAACCAAAACAAAGAACGACTCAATAAACCTCGAGTCGTTTTTCCAATGTTCTCAGCGGGCCGTCCTCCGCAGCGCTGTCAAATTTAAGGAAGCTTCTCATCTGAGCCGCGCTGATGCTGATCTCAGTGGTTAGCTTCAATGGTTCGCCCTCCATGGCATCGTCTTCCTGTTCCTGAATTATACCGGCTGTATCCTCCGGTAGTAACAGCTGCAGCAGCTCAATGGTCGTCGACAGCGTGGACAGGTGATCCGGGCCTGGAATGCTATTCCTGGACAATCAAATGCAGTGTAATTTCAAAATCATTTCAAAAACTTATAGACCCTAATGGCGCTAAATCCCAGTTCGTGTGTCTTGAAAAACACAATTTTTACAATGCGTGTAAATCTTTTTCATTCTTGACCATTGTCATTCTCTTTTAGTCCATGCATATCTCTTGATGTTTTTTGGACACCAGCAGACCATTATATAAGGTTTTCTTTTAGTTAGGAGCCACTTCCTATGTCAATATCCAATTTCTTTCCTATCTTGTCTGTCTATTACTTTAAGTGTTTATGTGTACTTCAGATTTTATAGCAACGTATATTTAATACATTTATTCCTACAGCCTAGGTGTCTGACAAAAAATAAACGGAGCTATGTTTTTCCTCGTCCGTTTCTGACCAAGCTACCTCCGACCTTGTTTTGGACAGCGACTGGAGTGATCAGCTTATAAATTCTTCCTACGTTTTTCCTATACTCTGTCAAAATGCACTTATTGAGACTTTAGACCATAATCAAATAGAGGATTTTGCTCTGCTTAGACACCAAACTCCTAGAACTAAACAACAAAGAATTGTAGGCCACTGAATCGGAGAATTAGTTCATAGATACTGTGGGTAAAGTGGGAAAGACAACATCAATATAACTTACTCAAAAGACGACGACAGCCTTTTCAGAAGGCGATAAAACACTTCACTATTGTTCTCCAGAGCTCTGAAACGACACAAACAAGGAAATAAACTATGGGCAACAATCTAAACCATAAACCTATTTAAGCCCACGACTCGCCAAAGTTGTGAGCTAAGACTAAATGTCAATGCTAAGACAAGTTCAGGTACCTTTTCTGGTGGTAGACACCATAGTTATGTTCGGTAAGAGTCAGCAGGGTCCTCAGAGCGAGCAAAATTGTAGCAAATGACTGCTGCTCGGATCCCATGTGCTCCAGTAACGCAGCACAAATCACTTCCAGCATCTCCTTGTCCGGCAAAGTATTAGCCAGCTAGATAAAGAAAATCTCATGAAAAATGTGGCTAGAGAAGTTATGGTCACGTAGCTTCATAGATGGAATAAACTTTTATGCTAAAAGGACAGTACTCATTTCATTGACAGAAAAATAACAACCAATATCAAAAAGAAAACTACAAAACAAGCAAACAAAAACAACAATAACACAAAACTTACATGTTGGTCGGTAAAAGGAGTTTCGAAAGGCATCAGGCTAACCGTGGGGTCACACAAGGACTGGACAATCGACTGGCAAAAAAAGCACAAATAAAGTTTTTGAAGAACAGGCTGTAGAAAAACAAGAGACTCACAAACAAAATGTGGCTAGATGTGTGGCCTCAAAAATACAGTCATTGCAAAAAGCGCAGGTGATATACTAATGATACCCAAACATGCGCGTGAATAATCTACATCAGAGAAAGATCTGCACTCTTAAAATTTGCGCAACGTTCCAGCGACATGAGCGGGATGATACAATCGTCACAGACGAGGAAGATCAAGCGGCAAATAAGCGCGGGAAATAAGTAATAAGCGAAACTAACTGAAAAACCTCGGGTTTTGTAAAACTACAACAAAATCAATCAAAGCAAAACGAACGTAAAAACATAATTTCCTCTCTAAATGCACCTGAAAGTGGTGAAAAACTCGATTACATTAAAAATTGATTAATGTTTCAGTCATAAGGGCAATGAAATTGTTTCATAAAGCTGGAGGTGTTTTAGTGGTAAAAAAGGACTGTGTTTACTTCCAAAAGGAGCAGTTCGAAGTACATCAAGCTCTTTCAAAATCTGTAAAGTAGTCATTATAAATGATTTACATACCACGACACAGTACTGTGATCTAGACACCGTTTGATTTTCAGACGACCCTTTCAAACAAGACAACATGGACGGCAAAAGACTGGGGAACAACAGGTCATCGTTCTTGGCATTGCCACTGTGAATAAAACGTGAAACAATCATTTCTTTTATATCCCAACTTAAGAAATGTTGGTTTTAAAACCTTCATCAATTATAACAACGCCGTATAGAATCTGTTTCAATCACAGTGTGTTCTTAAAAAATTAAGTATAGTACTATGTAGTTCCACTGTCTTAGAAAGCTTTGGAAGTTAAATAGTGTAATGAAGCATTATTTGAAACGTGAATTATCCACCTTCTGCTCGCCCTGAATCTTCAAACTGTTACTGTGAATCGTGCAATAGCCATTTCACAATATTTGAACAGTCAAGGCGGTTTGGATGTAAAGATAGCTTCCCTCGCGACCTTGGCGTCGTTCAGCCATCAGAAAATATCCGACCAATTCTGCTCATTATGTCTCAAGATTGAATTAAAGGATAACTTTTCAGTTACGTTTGATAGATATCCTTTGTATGCTATCAACTAGTATACCTAACTCGGTATTAGGATTTCACGTGGAAATTACGCCCAGCTCACCGACCTGGTTTTCAAAAGTTGAAGCAGCGACACTTTGACAGCTGGCTGTGATGAAAGGTAAGCTAACAATGTCATAATACGCACACCTCCCGGGGAACAACTGAAAAGGAAATTGGAGTAACACTCAAATTCACAATTATACTGGTAAACAGTTAATATACAGGCTAATTTTGTTCGTAGACAAGTCACACACTTTCTTTCGCTTTAACCATCGGTCAAACTTTCCGTTGGAATTTTGTTTAGAAAAGTGTCATGATTAATGACAATTAAATGGAATACAGCATAATTTCACCAACGAATGATACGCAAGTAAAGAAATGATCCTCACGCGTGAGCAAAAATTAATGATACTGCAAAAAAAGAAGCCTGAAAAGATTCAAGCTTCGACGAAATTGGAGCTCAGGCCTTCTGAATAACAGTTGGGCTCTACCACCAACTGGAGTTTCCACATTCCTTCCCGTTTATCAAGAGCGGTTCATATATGAACTGCTTGTAAACTGATGTAAATAGAAAGTTTAAGTCGAGTTGAGTGAGTCGTTTCCAGGGTTGCAGCAAATATTGGGCATCATTACTGCTCAATGCTGCAATCATGCGCACTCGATTAGCCTGCATAGGAGCGTGAAAACTTTCATGTTCTACTAAAATGACGGGACCGGTTCGGCCAAAACTAGCTCAGATAGTTCTCATTCCATTCACGGAAAAAACGGTCCGACCGGTGAGTTGCGATACACGGCACTGAAGGGGTCATAGTTTTGTAGCTTTTGTTGCCAAGAGTTTCTTACCTATTGTCGTCTCCACTTGCTTTGCTCATCTCGCTGTCCAGTGTCTCCAGAAGTGTTCTGATTAAACAAAATTAATGCACAGTTATGAATTCTTCGCAACTCGAACAAGCGATTGTTTTATCTCCTTTCACAGTGCGATTGAGCTTAATGGGTTGATAAATTTGCCTTATTTGCTCTTTATTACATTAGAGTGCTGAAAATAACTCTGTTTTTCCTTTGTTGGAGAACTGCTGAACTGAATTCACTTGTTGAAACGCAAAGAAGCACTTATTGAAAGGGGGAAATCTGCAAGGGGGCAAAACTTCTCACGGCAAAGGGAGTAAGGCTGTAAAATCCACTACCTTCTGACGCTAATACTATTCCAAAGCCAAATACGTTAGGAGGCTACGTCGAGATAGTTACACTTTTCCAGTTTGCCATTCGAAATCCGTCTAAATCTTCGCCATCCTAAAAAGTCTTTGTTCCCTCCTACATTATTATTGTCTCTTCCGTGTTTTTCTATCTCATCGACCTAACATCTTAAAGTCTCTTTACAACTAAAAGTAGTTTTGTACAGTGAAAAAAATGAGCCACAGTAATCACCTGACGATATTGAAGGCTGTGGGTGCAGAGAGGTCTGACAGCTGTGAACAAACTCTTCTCAGTACTTGCTGAAGATTGTGACATGCTGATCCTACAAGTTACAAGAAACAGAGGCTTTAGAAACCTCAAAGATGCTAGTTTTTAACAAAGGTTCGTAAGCATTTTAAAAGCAAAAATGTTTTACACAAGGTTATGAGTCAAAACACATGGCTTGATCCATAAAAACCACGACGCATTTCACATAAAAAGCAACCACAACGTAATGCTTAAACACAGTAGTGGGAATCGAGGTATTTTCCCAAAGATTGGATGTTGACCGACCCCGCGTTTAAGAAGATGAAGCCATGATAATTAACGTAAATTTCATCTATCTTGAAAAAATCTTACTCGGCGATTTCACACTCAAAGAAGCTTAGAAAACTCCGGACTCCTTCCCTTTTTTTAAAAGTCTACCTTTGTTTTCCAGGTATTGAAAGTTTGCCTAACCCTGCCTCTGTCAGTGAGGACTCTTAGATGTAACTATTCAAAAATTACATCCCGCCCAGGTTCCTACCGGCCAGATCCTTGAGTATTCCTTGCAGCTCTGTGCTGAGTGGATTGAGGTGCGCACTCCACAGCCGGCGATGATTCATCACCAGATTCGCTTCTTCCTGAGGCATTTCCTTCAAATGAAAAAAAGAAGAAAACAAAAAAGTGAACCAAGTCAACAGACCGCTAAATAAAATCAAAAAAATACCGCACCCGTCACGTTCTTAAATACTTCCGCCATCATATATCATGTTCTTCGGAATCTTCAGTTTATTGTCGTCGTTGAAACAACACGCAGAGTCACACACTCCATTCACTACCCCTCCAAAGATCAGTTTGAATTTAAAATTCCAAAATTCTACACTGAATACTCAGTAAAGTCACTGTGTAAATTACCCACCTCCAGCGAGCGAATTGGTAAAGGTATTGGTAACAGTTCTGACAGCAAAACAAGTCCTCCTAGGAAAGCCTTCGAAACAAATGAATGTCAAGAATAACCAATCAAATTAAAACGTATAAGTGTACAAAATCTATCTCAGAGGAGAAGACGTTAGGTAGATCATATGTGATAAATTTTGGCCACAATGAACGTGTCATACAAAATTGGCAAAGAATTTGTCAGCTGATCTGTTTCTTTTAAAACTGTAGCAACACCTACAGTAAAGGCCAAGCTAGTTAATCCCAGAGTCTGACAGATTACATTTTAAAGATTCTTTCGTCTAACTGACATACAAAATAAAGATAGCGAACAAAATACGAATCGAGCGTCTTACATGAATGAGAAGTCGGATGGGTAAAGGGCATCATTTCTGAGAAATCTAACTTGTCGAATCAGCATCATATTTTTATATCTTTTGCTTTAAGATATACTTACTTGGGGAGCAGATGTTGTGTATTCAAGAAGTTCTTTTAACATAAGCGACCAAATGCTTTCATTTATTGCTATGGAAGAAAAACAAACCGGCAACAAGTCAAACAATACTACAACTAAAAACATGACCACAAATAGACAAACAGAAACTTATCAATGATTGAAAGCTGACATAATCAAGCGCTATCAAAATGTGTAAAGCGCTCGTTGTAGCGGGGTTTGATACAAACAGAAGCCCACAGGCAGCGAAGATTTGGGACTAGTCTATGGACTGAGCATTTGAAAGACTGTTTGCTCATCTGCAGCTGGTTATCATCATCTATTTAGACACGCTAGTCTTTGCCTGAGGTTAGTGTTTCACCAACTACCTCTTTCTTTGAAACTGGATGGTGTCTTCAGGTAAGTCACAGCCTCCGTAAAGCGATGACTCACTGAGACAGGTGCCATTTTTATTGGACTACAAGGATGTCATGCTTATTTCCCAATTCAGGTTTCTTTTGGTCTTCTAACTCTGGTTAGTTCCAGCATTTGTTCTCTGCTTCCCCTTTGCCTCTCGACAAGTTAATACAGCGATAAATATTTTGAATACAATACTCAGTTCGCTTACCTTCTTCATGGTCAGATGATTGTACGACTGGCCTCGTAAATGTCATGAATACATCAACAATTTCACTTTGGACCTTTTAGCAAAAAAGGAGGGAGTCAAATCGCAGAAAATTAGCCACAGTGTCTGTAAACTACCCGCTATCATCCTTCGTCAGGACAAACAACAGCATCTATTGATGCAAAATTCACTACAGAGAATTGACCAGTCATGATATGTGAAATCCGTAACGATCAATATTCAACAGAGGTTGATAGATACACTTTTCAGCGACAATGATACAAATATGGACAACGTACAAACAGTTCAAATTAACTGCTCTCCCACTAATTTGAAAAGAAACATAAAAAGCTCGCAGATAAAGAAGACATTCCAGCTTTACCTCTCGTTGTCCTTCTTACCAAAAGTGGAACACTGCCCTTCCCGTAACTTCTCTTACCCGATTCCAATTCTACTAAACTGGATTCTAGTATACTCACGACCAAACGACTCAGCATGTGTTCTTGAAACAGCGTCATTTTGGCTGGGAGATGAGTCAGCGGTCGTCATTTACCGATACTTTTTGCAAAGATGTCATAATGGCGGAAAACAGAATATTAGAGGCATTTTTCCTCACTTTCCCAGTTTACCCATGTAAAACTGCACTAACTAAGACTGTAAGACTTCGCTCTGACGATGGGCTAACGCTAAAAACCACGGTCAGCTTTGAAACTCTTAACGGTGGCCAATTTACGTTCTCAACTCAGTTAATAATACCAAATTACCATCCAAAAGGAAAGACGACTACAGATACGGTACATCAGAATGTTAAAGACTCTTAATTCATCCTCACCTTGTGAGCAAGACTACTAAGTTGTCCTGTCATTGGAGCTGTGCACATCACAGTATGAAGTACCATCATTGCCTTCATAAGTCTTCTATCTTTAAACTGGTATTTACCACTGTTCAGCAGCTCTATTAGAAGGGTCTTCACCAGTGCAAGAAGAGGCGTTACCATAGAAACCATTACTAGGGGAGGTCCAGTGTGTAGGGGTTGCCCCTGCCTCCAGGGGCGGAGAAGGAAGTCTCCTAGTTTTTGAAACACGTTGATAAACACGTCCATGGCATTTGCAGAGAACAGCTCAATGCAGGCCAAGTTGTGGTTGAGATCTTTCTGAATCACTGCCATGACAAACAAATCGAGCAGTTTAATAGTTCATAACAAAAAATCACACACGCAGTGATAGTCCCTAATTTTGAAGCCTTATGTCCAGTACAGTGAGATTCTTTGTTCAGAGTTGATTCAAGATGGGAGAGCGTTTCTTGTTGTTGCACATAAAACAGTTAAAGTCACCAACCCACAAAGGAAACGATTTTGAAAATAAGCTGTTTGTACACCATTTTTCCTGAACGCTTAAAAAAATGTTTTGAAAGACATAAAAACACGATAGCTTCTACTTGAAGTGAAAATATACTCAAACATTCGTATTTGGTCATAATCGGTTCCTAGAATTTTACGGATTTTCTCAAGCTTCACTCTCGGAAAACGAAGGTAATCATCTCTTTGGGGAGTTCACCCTCAGGTTACGACATTGTGCCAATAACTCAATTTAACAGACCACCTTGTTAACCAACCTTCAGTTGTGTTTGACTTCTCCACAGGACAGGCAAGGTACCTTAGGACTCGGACAGCCATCAGTACTCCACTTGCTACACTGGGTGTGACATTCATCTCATCCAGATGACTGATCAAAATGTAACAAAAGAGATAACAGTTAAGAATACTATGAAAGACAATTGGGCAAGACACCCACTGGGTAGATCCAAAGGTTTGGGAGGGATTAGGGACTATTATCTGTGGTAGTGCTTTCCCTTTTTGCGTACCATAAATAAAACATATATCAGGGCTTGAACCCAAGAAGACCTAAGTTCAGCTAACTAAACATTGGCCACTGGTCTCCTTCTTAGGATTCTTTATGTGGTATGGATTGCTATTTGAATCTGCGGACTAAACATTTCTTGTGCAAGAGTAAAAGAAAAATATTACCTTTTCACAAATTCTACTAATTTGCCGATGCCTGACATATCAAACTTGATATCTTTCAAAGCAACCAGCCAATGGCCCAGTTCGGTAATTGAAGAGTCCGCATCCACTGAGAGAAAAACATAAATGGAAATTATCCATAACGAAAAAAGAAAGACGAAAGAATTAGAAGAAGCACAAGAGATGACACGGTTTGAGGAACATAGGTTACCTAATTGATCGATAAGAAGTTAGAAAATTGTGTTCGAATTGAGTTCTCATCCGTTCATTCAAGTCTCTACGAATAATCTGCCTGACTGTGTTTTAAAAGTTCTCTTGATATTCCGGTTTTGTCTTAAAGCTTACACCGGAAATGAACGCTGAGAATAAAAGGCCAATTAAGTCTGTAATTTGGACGTTAGAGATAAATGGTCAATCCAGTATTACAAGACCATTCGAAAAGACTTTGGGTCGGTTCTTTACACAAATTCTATCCCGAACTACGGTTTCACGCAATCAGTGGGCCTCAGGCGTTCTCTATAAGAGGGTTGAGTTAATAAAATGAATGTTCTTCCACTCTTAGCCTTCGGTCCTCTTACCTCTGTTCACAAAAATAAATGTTCAGATAAAAGGTTCAGCTAAATTGAGGATTTTTTGTGACGCGGTTTTGTTAAACTACGGCAAAACTTTGTTTAAATAATCAGACCATTGTGTTTTGCTTAGGTGTGATGACGCGTTATTGATCAACGAAACCCTCTTCAGCCCCGTTCTTCTTAACTTGGAAAATCATCCGTAATTAGTTTAGGGTCATCTGAAATAAATAGAAACTTGTCGCAAGCAAGCATATTGAGTTAAGATGTCACTAGATCATTCTCTACGATCCCTCTCTGGACTCTCAGTACCAATAATATCCAACAATAAAAATAATTTTTCTTACCTCTTTCTGTGACAGCCGTGAGTCTCGGAGCAAGCTTGGATAACATTTCCACATTCTCAGACACTGCAAAAGGTAAAAACGTTTTTAAGCTAACAGACATCTGATGATAAAATATCCCATCTACTGCCCGTAACTGCTAAGCTGGTCACTGCGCACAATTTATGTCAGTACACACACCTATGACGATAATACTCACATTTTACAGTTAAAAGAATCAACACCGTGGCGTATCTCGTTGACACACATTTCTTCAACTTAGCATCGTCTTTTGCATCTCCTAATTAAAAAAAAAAAAAAAAAAAAAAAAGGTATCACACATTATATTTCCATCATTTTCACAGTGATGAAATAAAGAAAATGAAAAAAATATTAATGGAAACCATCCAGTATTTAAAACTATGGCCACAGAAGTTACTAATCAAAGTTCAGCATACTATTTTCAAAGATACAACGATCATCAAAAGAGAGACCTACCGGTAGATTCCACAAACGGAAGTAGAGCACTAAGATTTGTTTCCAAGCTGAGAACAGACACTACTGCAGCTTTACCTACGAGAAGAAAACAAGCGCACAAAAATTGACAAGACTGTCTTATTATCTTGAAAAAAATGGTCCGCTGTTTGGCTGTGTTGGTTGAAAAGTGAAACACAGATAATGAACAGCAAGGGAATCATCAACTAACGGATATCGTCTCGATAGAACGCCAAATTCTCAGCACGAAAAGAAAAAACAGAAATGTAATGACACCAGTCAAGAGAATTAGATTTAAGATCTTGAGAATTTAAAGGGGCCCTCTGGTTGAAATCCATCAAAGAAATAGGTCATTAGTAAAACAGTCAAAGCATCTGAACCATTCATCGCAAATTGCTGAATTTTTGCAGGAAGCAAGTAGACAGCTCTGCGTACATTTGTACCAGCCGGTAACGAAGTCGGCCACATTAATGTATTCTTAATTATTATATTAACATCAAAAACTAAAAGTAATGATCCCTCTAAGGTACGTGACTAAAATAAACTACATATCCTTTATAACCATCATTACAACTCACCAATGGCTGTAAAGGTCATGGAGTAGAGAGTGTGTAAAGTAGAAAGCAGATCAGCTCCGTCCATGTCATTTGGCAGCAAATCTTACGGGAAAAGATTTCACATCAGACTGAATATTACATCAAAATACAGCGACGTAATCGCTGTCAAGCCATAACACACGATGAACAACACAGACTGTACTACATTGATTTTTTTTTTCCATGGTTGACAAAATTGATAAGATAAATTTGGGTGTTCGACTGTGGCCATGTAGAAACAAGATTCAATCCAATATAAAAAATATGTCGGAAAAGAAGTTGCAAGAAAATTACCTGGAGTGAGGGATGTAAGCAGTTGATCCACAGCTTGGAGAGTCTGGAATGTCCCGTAAATAGAAATAAATATTGAAATAAAATGAAACCAAATTACATGAAACCCTTACGAATCTGAAGGGAAACAAGTTTTCAAACACTTTCAAATACTCCTTTCAATAGCTACAGTTCCACACTTTCAACATCACCAAGAAAAGTTAGTAATTTCAAATTGCTGAATGACGTCCCTATTTCCTGTTAAACGGTCTTTCAATAATAACTGAGGTAAGAGGAACAGAGTTTATAAACTTTACCTGCAAATGATAAATCAGCAAAAGTCCCAGATGCTGGGGAGTGCAAGAGTCGGCTGCAGTTGTATCTCTGAGGATTTCCTAAAGAGTGTGAAAATAACAAAATAATGCAACGAATGCTGATAACCCAAGGAAATTTGATAATCCTTAGGCAATGAAAATAATAAAATTATGCATACCTAATAATACTAATAGTAAGTAAACTGTAATATACATTATAATAATATATATTCTTAACGATACATCTGACAATACTTACATTCAGTGGCGCTGCATCACTGTGGTGAATATCAGCCTCCTGAAATCAAACTCGGTGTCAGAATGTTATTGCCAACTGGTTGGAAGGTATGTGGACAAGTAGGTAAGTATGAAATATGTTGGTACTGCAGCTGATATCGGGCAAGCAAGTGGGAAGAGAGAAGATGGGTAGTGAAGGGGAAACCAGTGAGAAAAAAAAATAAATGGTGAAAGAATACATGTACTTATCAAAGGAATCAGAGATAGTACACCAAATATTGTTTCTACGTGCACAAACACAAGTCAGATTAGTAGTTCATCTATTATCTTGGCTTAGTTACCAAGCCTTTGAATGGGAGTGAGGCTAAAGGTGACCTTCTTAGGGAAAATTTAATTCAATTCACTATAATTTAAATGGAAAGTAAGAAAGACACTTACCGTTGTTTGAGTGAGGACACGGATAAGACCATTTATAGTGTCAGGATGAGAGGAAAGGAACAACAAACCTGAAAGTGAAAGAGTACAGTTTGATCAAAACTAGGCAAATAGCACACCAAGCTAGCCACTTGAGGCTACAATGATCAAAATATCATTAATTCGTCAGAATCAACCTAAAACATATCAACCATTATTCTAAATTCACTTTGCCCACTTACAAGAGAAACACAAAATCTAGTGCCAAAAACTAATATCACAAGACAACACACATACCACAATCTCATAGTGAAGACACTAAATTGAAATAAGTAAATGGTACTTCTTATCAACTTCCAAAAGTAACCAGTTATATTTTTGTATACACCTTGATCAAGGGCTGGTTTTCTACAAGATAAGCACTTAAAGTAGTGTTTACAGGTTCTGTTTCCTTTTTCCAATAGACCACTACTCATGTCACTTGCCAAACCATAGTTAACAGAGTAGAATGGTTAATGAACCTAACATATTTTGTAGTTATGTGTTTGAAATGAATTTTGAGGACCTGATCATGCTTCATGTTCAATAACAATCCACTCACAATAGAGTAACAGACCAATCAAAGCATCTCACTACTTCTGTAAGTTACCATGCATGACCACAAAAACAGAAGATTGTGGAAAGTCAGAGAGAAGTCCAACCTCAACTTCCACTTGGTGTTTTTACTTTGAATTTTTTCCACCTCACATAACCATTCCCTTCAAGTAACTGTGTCCTGACAAAGAGCCTGGCACAGACTTTAACTACCAAAGTTAAAATAACCAGTAAGAAGCAGTCAATTTACCTTGCTGTGACTGTAACAATGTAAAGAAGAAATCTCTAATTGGCCCAAACACTGCAGGATGACAACCAGCTGTTGAGGACATCACAACCAGAATGGACTCCAGAAGGCGACTAAATTAACAAAAACAGAGAGAGTTTAAAAATGCTTGCATTCGCCTACTGTACTAATATGGTTAAGTCTTAAAGCTAAACAGCCTGTAACTGAATTGCTTATCTTTGCTTTATGCAAAACTTAGCACCTAAGGGTAAAGTTACTCTCCCTGAATGAGAAGCTGGTCCATTGCAGATTATCACCAAGGATCTTATCCAATTTCCCTAGCAATTCTGCAGCACCCATTGGTACTCCTGGGGGAGTAAGACATCGAGTATTGTGTCTTGTCTAAAGAATGCAACCCATAATACAACATAAACCAGGCCAAGCCTCAAGCTAAGGTCTCTTGCTCCAAAATCAAGTGCCATAACCACTACTGCTACTGAAAGTACATTGCAGTGTCCCACAGGATACCACTAGAGGTGTAACTAAAATCCTCTGCCGTACACTAAAAACACTTTTAAAAGCAATAAAATTCAATTACCGGGCCTTGAAGAAGTGAAACAAGACTGGGTAAGGATCTTTAGGAGATTTATCAAATCCTGTGATCTTTGCTGAGGTAGGAAATGCTTTCACAGGAGCCTGAACCTAAATAGGAAAAATCAGTGCCTTAATCCTCATACTCCATTACTACCATATAGTAGTAATGTACTGTATGTCAAGGTAAAGGAGTAATTTTATCCTATCTATCTTGTAAGACCTTGCTATTTGAGCCATCTTTGTTGGTTAGCAGAAAGTGGGTTAAGCCAATGACTCCAATCATTGACATGCACAACTAAGCTATGTGGCTATTTTTTCTCCCTCTAAGAAGAATTTTGGGCCTCAATTTTTCCCTTATGTCAGAGAACTAATTAAGTAATCAGAATCTGTCTTTGGCACATTCATTTTGATGATTTAAGGACCCTGAAGTTACTGGTAAGGTGAAAAGCTTTAAAAACCTGACATTTTCTCTGATTGCCAAAAAATCAGACACCCCTAACCACAATGTTCCTTTTCATGACTTTCTTCACCTGAATGGTCAGACTGTGTGATCAAATTCTCCTTTGGACAAACATATTCAAAGTGAAGAACAAGTAACCACTTGTTTCCTCTATAATATCACAATACTTAATCAGTTTGTTTTCAACTTCTTCACCCTTTAACCCCTCAGGCTGACTTGCATCTAATTTTTCACTATGGTATCACTGCTGAATCAAAAAGCACAAACTTGAACAGCTCATGATTTTTAGCAAACTGTCCCTTGTCAGTGCCATTGGAAGTGTATAGAGAACAGTATGGACAATATACATGCTGGTAGTGTTAAGGGAGGATGTACAAGTAACTACATTATTTTACACACAGTTAAGATATTCACAATAAGACTGCATGTAACTGTCACGTATCATCTGAATTCAATAAACTTACTATCAACTGCTGAGCCTGTTTAAGGTAGATACAGATCTCTTCCAAGGTGCTTGCAAGGATCTCTATCATCTCTGTGTTAAGGGGTTGTTCTCGTTCACCTGAGGCTAACCCTGATGTATCCATGGCAATGTCAGGATCAGGGGACATCACATCAGCTGCATGCTTGGTTTCAGTTACCTCACCAACTGAGTCTGTTTCAGGATCTGTCTGCCTTGGACTGGGAGTTGTTTCAATAATTCTGTACAAACAGCAAAGAAAACAATTTGTGATACACCTACATGTACCTGGTATGCCATGCTGACTGATTGATTTATTGACTAATACTGAAGACCTGACACAATAAAAGACTGACTTAACAATTGAAGGACAAAATGACTAACTTATTAACTGACTAAATGACTGAATGACACACTTGCTCACTCAATTACTGCCTGCCTACCTAAAGAACAGACTGATAGCCAGACCAACCCCAAAAAACACATACAACAACTGCATTACAAGAATGGTAACAAAATATTGCCATGTTGATGTACAGTGTATGGAAGTCCTACTGACAGCTGTTAACAGAGCTAGCTTGGTACAAGAACTTATATCAACAATTCTCTAAAGAAAGTAGAAAATAAAAAAGATACTAAAAAAATTTAAAAAAGCAACCTGAAAACAAATTGTATGTTTTAGAGTACATCAAAAATTACTTACTTGTCTACAGTTTTCTGCAAAAGTGCAAGCAATTCATACAAATGGACTTTGCGAGCAAGGGCTGAAGCAGATTCTACCACACGTACAGTCTGTTGTTAAAATAAAAATGAGTCAGAAGAACCATACGGTAACTGTGTGCAGTAATATCCAAACCAAAGTGAAACAAACTGAACTCAACTAGAATTATCATTTATCAATTTCATTGTCATTATTTTACAAAAGAAAGCTACCTGATCAGCAAGAAGAAAATCAACAAGTTGCTGGTAACTTTTGGATTCTTCCTTGACAGTGTTTTCTTCACTCTCCTTGACCTTAAAAATTACAGACATCATCATAAATTTCAACTACTGTCACACACTGACCAAATGGAGCACTTATGACATTGGTAGTGATGCATTTGCTGCTTAATGATTACACATCTAAGTTTTGATTTTTCAAACTGCCTGCTAATTACCATCATGATGATAGAATGTTACCACCTATGAAGCTATGAAAGATTTCAAGTCAAAAATTACACTGATTTCACCTGTACACTCTGAGAAGTAACCATGCACACTAAATGCACTTGCAAAACCAAAAATTCACTTCAAAATCATTTGGATGCTTACCTTCAAGTTGGCATCTTCATCCCATCCAAGGAAATGTTCCATTCCAATGTAGGAATCTGTAGTGTTGTCAATGGCTATAACATTAAAAAAAATAAAGCACAAACCTTGTGTAAGCACAGAATTTACCAAGGAGAATTTTTGTTATAGTTACATAATTTTACATAAATGTATCTACATGTATTCTACAAAATAAAGTTAATACTAAGTGACAAATATGGGGTATTCTTTTTTATCACAGGGAAATACACCAAATCTACTTGATTGGTCCTAATTACATGCCAACATCAGTATGCATATTCTCCAAACTGTTCTCTATACAATTCCTATGGTGCTGACAAAGAGAATTGTTTTACAATCAAGGGTGTCTTTAGTTGGTGATCATTTCCTTCACTCTTATGACCTTAGTGTGTGATTCAGGGGTGTTATTGTTAAGAGACATTAGATGCTGGTCACTCTTAGAGGTTTAAGGGTGAATATAAGTAAGCATGTAGTGTACATTCTAAATTGTTTTTCTTTGTTACACTGGTTGTTCTTAATATTTAAAATCATACTTAGGTAAGAGTTGTGGTAAAAATTTTTTTTTCATCTGTTTAAATTTCCAAATCCCTTTGACTTTTATCTATTTGTGACTTTTTAAACTGAAACAAGGAAAATAATAGTCTAACTGGTTTATTATAATAAATGAAAAATTTAATCCTTAAAGGATATTTTACACCACAGCATAAAACATTCCTTGTAAAATTGAAAGCTGATAATATTGTAAATTAATTCACAAACATTTGACATAGATTTGCACCTGATAGTCAGCATAAATCTAACCAGTGTAAGTGAGCTAAATCAGCTCTCTACAAACATTACAATTGAACAAATTTACCAGTAACACTGACCTTGCAGAGTCAACAATTTCATTGAAGAGGACATGTGTTCTGTTGTTAGAAGTTTACCAAGAGACTCCTGAACCCCAGCTTCCTGAGGGCAAATAAAACATTTTTTAACTTGGCTTCAGTATGCCACAAAATTAATATACATGTTTGTTACTTAACAGCAGCATGAAAGTGCAACCTGTCACATGACACCACTCCAGAAAGATGAGATTATCAAACAGAAGTATGGTCTTTTTTACAGCATGGCTTGTATTAAATACATTGCACATCCACAATTAAAGACTGTTTCAAAAATTTTCCGAACAGTTTTTCTTCATTTTCCAAGTTATGGGTCATACCATATGGCTTAAGACCAATAGCTGTTACTAACAAATTGTGCCTGAATTGAAACTTTTCCATCCCTAAAAATGTTCTGGTCAAAGCCACCTTGCAAATGACTCAACAAGAAGTTGAACAGTAGCCACAGATTGGAAAAAAAAAACAAGTTGTAAATGGTCTTTACTTCCCAAACTTTCCAAGCTTTTTAAATTGCTATCTATGCAAATTTCCATAGTTTACTTATTTTTGACCATTTCATTCCCAAGATCTTGTTACTGTCTGCAATACAACTCTTATAAAGTCAGTTTGAAGAATTTGGTATTGGATCAACTACTAATCCCATAATTAACAATTTCCTTGATTCTCGTCACTTTTCTGTTAATATTGTAGAGAGAAATTCTGTCTTGGTCACTTACGGGAGTTTGAGGGTTGAGAATTCTGGCTTCTTTCTTTCCATATCAAGATGGTTCACTTATATATTGTTAGTAGTACTCAGTCATGTACATGCAAATGAAAAAATAAACAAAAAGTCTCACTATCAGAAAAGAAGAAACTTCTGATCCACAGGAGCACATTGCACCAACAAGCTTCAGTCCTGCTTTTAGCAATCGAATGTTAGCCTGTTGGCAAAGATCAAACAAACAACAATAAATATACTGGGAAAAGATTAAAGTACACTTGAAAAGCAAGCAAGTTTTACTTGAAGTCAGCTTAGTGAAAGATGGTCTGTTACCAAAGAAAATGGTTACTGAAAATCAAACTGCAAGTATGTGGAGCAAACATACATGTAAGGTACTAGTTACAGAAAACAACTTTCAAAGGATGGTCGTAAAGGATTCAAAACACAGAGAATAGGCCTATGCATAAAAAAACCTGCATCTCAAGTAGTTTAAATGTATAATTATGTTACACTGCACATAATCTTTTTCTTTTGTCAAACTACAGTCTATTTTGCAAGTCTGAGGAAAGGACCATGACTCATGGCAGGTTCATCTGTTTGTTTTGTAAAAACAGACACAGAACTTACAGCTATAGGAAGTTTCTGAGCCATCTCAACATCCAAGGAATACAAGATCCATTCAATAAGTTTCCTCTTCACTCCTGTAAAGTAAAAGCAATTTCATTATATTTTTGGTTTTGTTTTCTTCTTCTTTTTATTCAGTTTCATTGCCACAAAAAATGCAAAAATGGCTCAAAGCAGAATGAACTGGAGCACAAAAACAAACCCTCTTTTTGTTCACTTCTTGTAAGAAAGGCCTGCAAAAAAAGGAGACTACTTTGGCTGGGTTTCATGATATAATAACTCATTCAAACATTATCCTCCTTCCAATTGTTTGCACATACGAGAGATTACAAAAATTATGCACATTACATAATATCAGAACATAACACAAACACAATCAAGAAAGTTACTTTGATTCTTAGAAAAGAATTCACTATCAAGCAAAAGATCTTCCCTTTTAGGCACATGTACAATAATTATTTTTATGATTGTTTAAAATAAGAATTCAAATCCTTGAGACATACCAGCCCTGGAATAAGAAGTCTGGGTATTCATTATTATAATTCATTATCAAGCAAAAGATCTTCCCTTTTAGGCACATGTACAATAATTATTTTTATGATTGTTTAAAATAAGAATTCAAATCCTTAAGACATACCAGCCCTGGAATAAGAAGTCTGGGTATTTCCTCAAGTTGCTCAATCCATCTGTTGGAATTTGATTAATATTTGTTTTTAGAGTCACAATCCAGTCACTTCAACTGCTTTTTAAAAAGGCAAAGACTAAATTTACATTTTTTTGTGTGTTTACTTACTTCTTATTCCTCTCAGAAGTGCAACACATTTCCACATGTTCAAACAATGTCTGTCCCTGCAGTTTTATAGAGGAAAAACATGTATTATATCTTTTTATTTTTCACTTATTACAACCATTCCCACATCAAAGTAATCACTGAATTTGTAATACTGTTCTAGGAGGCAGGTCTTGCACTTAAGTCAAGTGAGCTGCACTGCTCATTGGTAAGATTATTTAACTTCGGTATCTTCCTGAGTGGGATGCTTCTGGCATTAATTTTTAAGGTTTCTTTGAAATTTTGTTGGTAAATGTACCTATTAATCAACATTCCTTGGCAGAGAGAAAATGCAGTGAGAGTTGCTTGTCTAATGCCAGTCAACACAAACACACTATCCTTCACCAGAGGTCCAACTTTGACCTTGCAATCCAGAGCTAGCTGGTACACCAACCATTGGTACCTCATCTCTATCTCAAATAGAGTATGCAGGGTCTTATCAGGTTAACCCTTTCGTTCCCAAGATCTCATTTTTCACCACAATTGGTAGTAATTGAAATCTGATTGGCAAATTTGCTGTTGTGGATATGAGTACAGACAATGCTACTAGTGTCAATGTGTCGCATAATGGTCACACACTGAAAAAATTGTTTTATTTGACATTGATATTGTGGCTGCAGCTTGTGAGTCCACATTATACTTTATAGAAATGATGTCTTGATCACTCATGGGAGTTTAAGGGTTGACCCTTCCTTGATCCTTGCACTTCTATGGTCTAAAAGCCAATTCTCCCCACAAGTGAGATACATTTCTTTGTTGGCTGGTCATGAGAATTTGAAATTGAATCAGGGCAACATCTCAAATTTTATGATAACTTTAATTTGTACTCTGGCTGTTGTTCTCACTTACCAAGTTCAGTTGCTGCTCATCTAAGGAGCCTTGGGGAGTATAAAGAGACATAAATCATCCAGGTGAATTTGTCAAAAGCAAACTCAAAAATTAACATCTAATCACACATTCAAACATTGAAAGAAACATTTTTTAAAAGAAATGTAGTAGCACTTTTATAATAAGAGAAAATCAGAATATTCTCTAAAAAAATTGAGCTTGACCCATTCAAAATTATTTTGAAAATTATGTGTAGTTGGTAGATAATTCTACATTGTTCCTCTAAACTTTAAAAGTTACAGTTACTGGCAGTAGTGGATGTTGAAACAAGCCACTTACTGGAATCATCTTTAACTTTCAGTAGAGCACTTTCATATTCTGTACCATCTGGAGGACTAAATGTCTAAAGGTAAAAACAGAAAAAGACATCAGAAAATGTCAATACAACAACATAATACTAATTTATGGCTAAATGTCATAGTTTCTTCCCTGGCTGATATTTTTTTGCTTTGGAACTCAGTAAATTTGTTGATCAACAGAGCATAACATTCACAAAATACAAATACAAGCAATGAACTTACGGTCAAAGGTGACAGGTCACATTGGTAGGGATTAAAACTAACAGACACTGACATCCAAGCATCTTCACTATAAAGATCAAGATCACCAAACTGTACATCCTAAAAAACAAATGTTACCAGTTTAAATTACACAGCAGGGGTGTAATGTACTTTAGGCCCAGAGATTAGAGAAAAAGACAACTCCTCAATCAATCTCACAGTAGCAGTAACAAATTGCACCAGGAATAAAAGATGGAAAGACAGTTTGAGGTGACCTGAAGATCTGGTTGTCATAGAGGTGTATTTCTAACAAATAAATTTAGTATCCACAAATCAAATTAAGAAAAATTGATTTTATACTCACTGCGTCATCTATTGTTCCATCATCCATCTCCTGCAATTGAGTGCATTTTAATTTTTAAGCACATTTTTCTAATTGTAAGGCACAATTGATCATAAACTGATGTTACACACTGTAATTTGCACTTATCACAATTTACCATCACAGTTTCAAGATAAAGATAACTGGCAATTATCAGTGTCTTAGAAATCCCAGTGCTCGCAAAAAATGACTAATCAGAAATCAAGGATAAGAACTACACCACACAGAGCAAAAAAAACAAAACAACAACAACAACAACAACAATAAAAACAGGAAGTTTTACAAGTCACATTCACTGTTTTGTAAGTGTTTTTTAGACACACCTCTTCATCACTAAGGATTTCTTCATAGCCATCCTATTTGAGGAAAAAAGCATTAAAAAAATCAAATGAAAAATCAGCTCATGAAAAGAAGTATATACACTGAATGAAAACAGAAAAAGGCCACTATAATCTTCATTACTTACTGGTTCATCAATGTCCTCTTCATCAGACATAAACAAGTTTGAGGGTGATCTGTCAGGTGTGAGTGGCTCGAACAAGTCATCTGGAGATTGGTTACCAGACTCTGTACCAGCTGGTTGCTATAGTAACAATTAATCACAAAGTATAGGGTGCAGTGTTAGAGCATGACAAATTTGAAAAAAAAAAAAAAATTGGATTTCTAGTAGTTTGAAGAATCAATCTTTATCTTCTCACCAAAATTGTGAAGACATAATGGTGACTTTGAAAACTGTAGTAAAAATACTAAGTTGCTGCACCCACCCCAAATGCCACTGTGATTACCCACTTAGCAGGTAATGATCATTTGACCTTGCATACATTTAAAAGTACCCCCCACCCCAGTATAATTTTACTAAGAACATGGACTAACAACCTCACCATGGCTAGGGCTAGTAGAATGTCAAGAACATCTGCCAATTGACAGCACTGTAACCAAACGGAGGTTACAAAAAATTTTTTATTCCTGTCTGTTGCCACCATAACAGTTGCTTTTGCTTCACCCTCAGTGTTTACCAAAATGAAGTCAAGGATAACACTGAGGGTCCCATGTAAAAAATCAAATAGTTTCCCAAAGAGACATGGAGCCGATTATGATATTACCTCCTCCCTTGGGGACCCTGGTGGAGTAGTTGGCTTGGCAGCAGTACTTTCACCAACAGTTGCCATTGCACTCTCGGGGGATCCTGGTGGAGATTTTATTCTAGGTGGTGACTTTGACTGAGTTCTTTCCCTCTCCTTCCCAGCTTTTCTTTCTTCTTTTGCATGCCACTGCTCATCTCTCTTCTCCTTCGATTCAGTGGTTCTCTCAAAGGCTCTTTCATCTGGACTCTTCTCAAAGAGAGCTGAGTCAGAAGGACCTCTCTCAGCACTCCTCTCCCTTCTTAATGACCTTTCTGGACCTCTATCATGATCTCTTTCAGCCCTCTCAGGTACTTTTTCAAAGGGTACTTTCTCTGTATCCCTGAGCACTCTTTCAATATCCCTATCAAGGCCTCTTGTTTCTACAATGACTGGGGGCCTATCAACTCTTGGTTCTGCGCGTGTTTCTTGAGGACGTTGATTGACATCAGTGAAGAGACCATACAGACTAATGGTGATTCTATTGTACCACCCACGCAGAACCACCACATCAGTTGCACCCTAATCAAAACAATTCAAACCAAATGTAGTTGAAAAGTAGTTATATTTATTACTAGTAATAATAAAAGGTTTGAAACCAATATCAATTTTGTTTGTCAGAGATAGGAAATTTAACAAGAGAGTAGCCTTATATCCATTTTACTACTCCAAACCATTTTGTTAAATTTGTTCTTATATTTGCACTTCCCTATAAAGTGATTATCAAATCATAGCTGGTGACCAAGTGCAAAGAAGGACAGCAGATAACCTACTTTGCAATCCCACATGCAGCCACCATACTTTTTCCATGATCAGTTTGGCCATATACAAAGCACAGCCAAGGTGTTAAACTTGGGACAACTGAGAACAAATCTGGGGAGTAACAGGGTGGAGGGCTTGAACACAAGGGCACCAAAGTATGAGCACAGCGCCCTCACCACTCAGCAACCCCCAACCAAAATTGACTGTAAAAAGTCTTACCTTAGAATTGGTAACCAGCTGAAAATTGTTGGGTTCTTTATACTCTAGTCTAGAAAATAAGGCAAATTAAAGAACTGTTAATAACAATATTTCTGTTTTTCTCTCCTTTTAATTAACAACCAGAGAGTCTTTGACAGAAGTAACAACTGCAAAAAGATGAAAATAAAAAATACTTTTTTTGTCACTTACTGTCCAAGTCTTTCAAACACTACATCTGCAGGCCTGTCTAGATTCCGAATGAATAGATCCAGCTTAAAAGAGGGAGGATGGGTCTCTCTGTAAAGAAAACATAGTTAAGTCATTTTATGTAACCAAGTAACTCAAGAAGTGTTTCCAAGTACCAATTCCAAGCAAGTTTTGCTAGCTGAGAAAGTGGTGAAATCAAAATGCTAATTGTAAACCCTAGGTATTTAACACATGAAATATTTTAAGAAGTCATGAGAGCTGCCAAAGTTTACAATTCTAGACTTTTCTTTTTTAACAGATATGGTGATATCTAGTATTAGAAGTTACATACCCCATTTTCTCTCTCTCACTAACAGCAGCATGGACTCTGTGTCCTGCAGGTATGACCCTTACTTCCTGGATACAGACGGGTCTTGGAAAGCTGATCAAGTCAAGATGCATTTCCTGTAGAGAATATACCAATAAATTAAGTAATCACTCACAGGTATTAACCTTTTGAATCCCAGAAGTGATTAACCCATAGCTTCTCACTATATTATCTATACAATATTCAGTAAACAACAATTGGAATTCTCAAACTCGTCACATAGGAGGTGTTATCTTCATCTAAAACCAAATTAGTGTGACTAGTTTACATGGAAATGTGTAGTAACCAAAGGGGAAATTAACAATCAGATCTTGAAATTTTAAGGGTTAATACCCTTTTGATGAGTTTCCTAGCCTTGTAGTGCAGACCTAATTTATGTTGGTTTGCTCCACCAATATCATCATTTTGATATTTGAACTCATAAAAAAATATGACTGTGTTCAGTAATCTAACCAATTAAGAACAATCAAATGTGACCTTCCACGGGAAAACATACAGTACAAATGTTTTCAAACGGCTTCCATTCACAAGCCATTTGTCAGCCGTTCAGAAAAATTTGCATCTGTTTGAATGGCTTCAGTTATCTGTTTGTTGTAAACATCAGCCTGTTTGAACGGCTTGGTCATCCGTTTGTCGAAAACATCAGCCCATTCAAACAGCTTGGTCATCATTTGTTGAAAAACATCAGCCTGTTTGAAGGACTCGGACTATTTTCCATCAAACGACTTGTATCTTCTGTTTGGAAGGTTCAGGATTGGATAGTGTTGCATTACCTGTCACACAGGTCTACTTTATGCAAATGTCACAAGATTGTGTTATATTAAATCCAGAAATGGAATCATGCACAGAATAATTATGTTTACCATATTGAATTCACTGTCAAAAGAAACAATAAAGGGAACAATTTGGCAACATGCAAAGCTACTAGAAAAACATTGCAGTCGCATTTTTGTGCAATAAAGTGGCAATAAACACTTGACACAGCAAAGATAAACGATGACAACTTGACCTTCATGGGTTATTCAAGTTTTGCTTTTAATAGAAGATGCTGAAGTCTCTGTTTAACAAACTTAAATACTTTGTCAGGCAATTTTATAGCAGCTGTGGGAAGTCAATATTTTTATTACATCAAAACAATTGACTATCCGTTGAACCTACTTTAAATGTGAATCGGACCTGATCTGTCCATTTGTTCAGAATGATAACCTATCCATTCAGCTCTTATGGCAATTTTTTTCTTATGAGTGGTCTGAAATTAATCATAAACCCCTTCATCTGTCTATGTCAAGCCCTTCAATAACTTTCACAAGCCGTTCAGTTGTTTGGGTAACCTATTCGATAATTTTCACATGCCATTCAGTCGTTTGCATGACCCATTTGAAAATTTTGACAAGCTGTTCAGTTGTTTAGGTAACTCATTAAAAAATTTACATAAGCCCTTCAGAATACTCGATAGCCTGTTCAGCTGTTCGATAGCATCCGTTTGAATGGCTAAGTTACCTGTTTGTTACCCATTCTGTAGCTGTGCATTTCACCCATTAAATGGAAAGCCATTCGTGTACATTTTCCCGTGGAAGATCACAAATTAGATCAGTAATAACTAGCTTAGTTGCTTGTATCAGGAAAATACATCTTAGTCTGATTAAACCAAAATGTACATGAAAGGGTGATGGACAAAACACTGACCCCCAGTCCATACACATATGACCTTCTTAAAGCTAAAAAGTCACAAAGTTTCATCGTAGTTTAATCGACTACACTTCCATGCACAAAATCTGAGTTGACTATACATCAATCTAGGCGAGGCCTGGCATTAGCTCATGCAGTCAGAGACAGACTCAGTCCAAAGAACTTGTTTAAAAATATCTGCTGATTCCAAGGCTCATTTTACCTCCATATCAAACAAAAAATTCGAAACCACTTTCCGAGATTCTCGGCATTACATATTGTCACAAAGTTTGGAGCTGATCGCAATTATAATCAGGGTGCAAGGCTTGCGATGCATTTTTCTCAGCGGAAGTGACTTAGTCACGCACATGCTGCACTATCTGACTAGCATGACGTAGAGGCATCAGAGATTGAGCATAAGTAGCGTAGGACCTTTCAAAAAAATTAATCACAGGATCACAAGGAAACGTTCTCGACCTGAAGCTGATCAACAGCTGGTTGGTAATACATTTGAAAAATATGCAAATTTGTGGCGTCGCGGGCAATGGCAAATTTGAAATACGAAAAACTTCCCGTAACATTGAATTTCCCTGGTTAAATTCACAGAGATCTTTTAACTAACCTCATTTTCAGGATGGCTGAATGTGTCACAAAAGAGCAAGACAGGATCCACAGCTTCAGGCGACATAGCCGCCATCTTGCTTTTTAGAACCACAATACAATGCGGGTCAACACCTACGTCGTGTATGTACATTGATGGAAGACATGTAAGGAACCGACGATCTGTACTTACTTTCGTGTAATGGACAAATCGCTTTAGCCGACGGCGCCAACTCAGTCCTTCTGAAGATGACTATCGACTGTTGTCTACGAGATCCCTATCCTTGAAAAACGGATTAAATACAGATCTTCAAAATTCCCTGATATACTTGTGTGCTTACTATCCGATGTTGATTCCTTGACTGAAGAGATGCGTCTTGCCATGCCCTTTGCAGACATAGGTGACCTGACGAAATTACAATGGGAGGTTTTGAAGAGGGAAGTTGTTGATTAACTACTCATGTCAATCTAGTTATCTTATATCCCTCTGTTTATCTCTGGCAGTTTCAGCCGAGCTCAAGCCTGGAGGATGGGCAAATAATAAAAAGTTCACGTGAACAAAGTCCTTTCAGTTGCCAATTGATTACCAGCTCACTCAAAACACAAAACTGAGATGAAAGGAATGCTCTTCCTTGAAAAGACCGAGCCTGAGCTCTCAGGACCACATAAATTTCTAACAATCCTTGGGCTCCATTTGTGGCAAGTCAGCTAATTTTATAATTTTACAGGTCTAATCTCTTTCTTTTCCCACAAAACATTTTGGTGTTTGAATTTCAGAATAAAAGAACGACAGAGCGAATAGAACTGGTTACCAATGAGACTTTAAAGAAATAAACGTATTTCCTTTACTTCCTCACATCATTATCAATACTCTTCATACTATTCTAAACATATTTCTATTAATACTGAAATGGAGAATTCATTGAACAATCAAGCTTCTGAGATTGGCAAGTGTTTCCCTTATTCTCATATACAGAACTGTAAGGAGGAATTAGATGCTGGTCATTTAAGGGTTTTAGGGATAAACCCTTTAGGGTAAAGGCACCTTCCTCAACAGTGACTGGTGCCCCCAAATAGATTCTGACTTGAGATTCCTTTTTCCAAAGTATTTGTTGTGGACATTTAAAGACACATCATCCTTGGTTCAGATGAAATAAAATTCTTTACAGAACGAGTACCAAGTAACAGTTAACTTCATACCACTCCTTGATAAAACAAGTTCTCTTTAATTATACTAAATATTATTTACATTAATTACAATACTTCACAATTTTTTATACTTTTTCCTTATTTCTTTTTTTCTGAATTTATCTATCAAGTGCTAGAGGGTACTGTAGTCTTATGTAAAAAATCTTCTCCTTTTTGCTTCAAGTGGTTGACATATGAAAGAAAAACCTCATGTTTACTTGGCCAATACCAATTTAAGTTTTGTACAGGATATTTTTGTCTTTAAGACAATAAACACAATTTTTAGACTTTTTCCTTCTTTCTTTTTTTCCAAATTTATCTGATTTGGCATACATAGAAACACTAACTCAAGTACTAGAGGGTACTGTAGTCTTATGTCAAAAATCTTCTCCTTTTTGCTTCAAGTGGTCAACATATGAAAGAAAAACCTCATGTTTACTTGGCCAACACCAATTTAAGTTTTCAGGTTATTTTTGTCTTTAAGACAATAAATGAAAATCCAACTAAGGATTAACTGCTGGTTCTTCAACTTTAAAAGCTAATCAAAAATGATTCCCGACTTCATTCTCTTGAAATCCTTCTTTGTAGTGTTGTCTGCAGTCATTTAGTTACTTATTTCAAATATTATTACCTACAAACAGTAGTCCAGAAGAGCACTCCATAGTGTAGAGGATGCAGCTTTAAGAAGCATGAAAGGAAAAACCAGTGTTTGTCAGTTACATTGTCTTCCAGAATGATGAACTAAAGCCTGACCTTTGAGTGTTTAGACAAGTTTTTTTTTTTTAAGTTTGTAAATGATGGTATAACAAGCTTGTTTCGTATAACTCAGTTTAATCCTTAAAAGCTATTTCAATTAGCCAAGAAAAAATAAAGTTAGAAAATTGGGAAAACAGATTATGCCATCCTCTTAGTAAGTTTCTTTCAATGGCCCGTGAAAATAATTGGGAATACAGCTTAGAAAGATCATAGGTTTGTACACTCAAAACAACTTTGTATTTAAAACCCAACTCTCATAAGTAAGCCCTCACAAGTGCTTACTAACATTTATAAATATCTTTTTACAAATTTTAGGTTGGTGATGAAAATGATGAAAATCAGAGTTACAAATCTTAATAGTCTTTTGGATCCTTCAAATAATTCCAGAGATTTAAGGAGGTGATGCAGATGTATTTTATACAGAAAACATTGATTCCACCAAAACACATTTAAAATGCAAAACGGCTATCATTATCGAGTGTCAAGGAACAATGGAGTATAATTTGAAATTTGTTGAGGGTCTAATAGATTCTAAGCTGCAAACCCCAAACTCTTTCGGCTAATAACACTTGTGTAAACTTTCAAAGGTCAGACTTTTAAATCCTAGGAGGCTGATACTTTACCATTTAGTTCACGAAGTCTGTTGTGATGTGTTCAGTTCAACTTGTGGCTTAGATCCAACCTTGTTTGGTGGCACCTGAAAAAGAAAGAAAGACGACGAGTGCGTGCTGCTCAAAAGTAACAAAACTATTTCATTCAGCCTACACTGAAGTAGGCCTTTTCTTTTTTTGTTTTCCTTTCGTCTTTTTTTAGATAGTTTTCTGTCTTGGATAACAGGAACTCATAACCTTAAGGGTTCTTTCCCTGTTTATATGTTGTTCCGCAGCTGAAACACTTCAGTTTGACAAAGTAGTGATAATATACTTGGCCTATACTTTGTGATACCGACATTTTGTTTCATTTACAGAACTCCACTCTCCATTGCTTTCCTCTCACACTTTGAACATAATTCCAAGGACACTTTGCCACCGCGCACATGGAGACACACACCACCAGAAGAATTTGACCGTTTTCTCTTGCTGGGGGCATCTTCCACACCCTCATCAGACCGCCTCTTCCTGCTTCTGGTCACATAGTGCCCCTCTTCCTCTTTTGTGTCGCTTTCCTTTTCGGTATCTTGACTTTGCGTCGACTGCACAAGCGACGAAGATAACGAAATTCCAGGTGTAGCCGCCACGCTCTTCAGCAATAGTGAAATTGTGCTCTCATTAGCGAGAACATTTCGTAAATATTTCACCTCACCCGCCAGCTTCTTCATAATAGACGTCAAGCTTTCGTTTTTGGCTTTAAGAGTCTTATTCTCCTCTTTCAAATCAGTGACTGTGTTTTCAAGCCCTTCGACGTACTTCTTTTTCTTTTCTCTGTTCTCCTTGGCAGCAATGGCGTTCTTTCTGTTTCTCTCGACGATGGCTTGTTGGTCTTCCACTTTTTCTTGAGGAATTCGCTGCCTTTTCCCAAGATTCCCATTCACTGGAAGACTCGTAAAGCAGGGTTTTGTAGAAGGCGGTTTATTTGATTGTTCGTTAAAGTTCAAGAGTTCCTCTAAATCTCTGATATCGTGGTCGTTTAATCCAAAGTCTTCGTCGGCCCACGATGAAGCAAAATCGGTCAGGAAATCCTCAATTCCAACGTCTAATCCACTATCCGAACTATGGGCAGGAGATGAAGAACTAGATAATGCTTCCAAATTTATGGATTCATCAATGGACGAAATCTCTCCGTCAGGATCTTCTCTGGGACAAATTGCTTCTTTCCTCTTGTTTCGTGGCTTCGTTGTGCCTAGGCACGACAAAATCTCGGTCTTGGAATCGTTGCCAGATGGCTCCATTAAGCAGTAATCGTGATCCAAAGCAATCGACATGGCCGTAATGGGACGTCTTTCGCAACAGGCTTTGTTCTCGGTCAAGAAGGAAACGTAAAAATATCAGTAGTCTTTTGACAAGACTCTCCTCGGCACTCGTTTACTCGGAGGAGAACGTCACTTCAACGTTTAATGCACGAGGCCGTGATAGAATTATAAGATGACGTCATTATTGATACTGCGCAAACTCTGTAAGTCACGTGAGAGAGACGCTCTCTATCCCAGGGTTTTTCCGTCTTCTTGAGCCTAAATGACCCTGAGATCGAAATCGGACAAATATTCTTTGGTATTAGACAAGACCGCAGGTCGAAATATCGCGGATTCCTAAACAATAATGGCGTCTGATACAGTACTTTGATTTGAAGGACGTTTGTGCGACTAAAATTGAATGACTTAGTCACTGTTTTGGAAAAATGAATTGTCAGATTCTCTACCCTTTGAACCGATTTTTTACCAAAAATTGGGTGTTCAACTGTACCCGATTGCCCACAAGACTGCTTCACAGCCAATCAAGTTACATAAATACTCGTCATGTTGGCAGCCATCTTTCGTTAGGAAGAGTCAGTCTTGATCAGAGATATATCAAGTGCAATTCACGAAGGTTTTTTGGTAGTTTGGTTAGGTCCTCGCAGGTAAGAAAATAAAGAGGGAATAGAAAATTTAATATTTGCAGCTGGCTAATTTGACATTCCATATATTGGTCCAAGCCTTGATCACGAGTTTAATTTAATGTAAGCTTAATAAGTTTTAGAAATGTTTAGATTATGAATTTTCTTCCATATCAATGTTCTAAATGTTTGAAAGAAAAATTGAATTAATGTTATCCTTTTATGCAGGGCGAATTTTCAACAAAGTACGTCCATTCTCCCTCCATTTATCAAATTTTTCTCCTCCTGAAAAAAGACAATGTGAGGCAGGGTAAGCAAGTTGTAATTCGTTGTTGTTGATTTGAATTTAAATGGACATACATTAAGCATGGGTATACAGAGCTTAGTGTGTTGTTCTGCTCTATAGCAGACAGTGATAGGCAGCATGTGGAACATGGTTCACCAAAGAACTCCTGCAAAATAATGTCCTCTCACTGTCAGCAATCAAAAAGGAAGACAAGTGAAGCTTATTGTTGTGGGACACTTGCAAATTAATGTTATTCATCTAAGAAAACAATTCTCTCAACAATTGCTCTTTGCTGCTTCAAAACCTGTTTTAAGAATTTTAATGCTTGGTATTTGAGA